GAAAATTGAAAACTAGTTTATATAGTAGCGTCAACTTAAGGCAGTTTAGTTTCGGCAAGACAACCAAATGATGTGGTTTAAATTTCCTTTAATTCTCGGAGTTCTTGGACTAACTTACTGGTGCAAGGAAGCAATAGCAGCATGTCCTCCAGGATATATCTCAGTATACAATGAATGTTTTTCGCAAACGGTTCAGCAAAATGGAAGTACAATAAAAATAGATTAAGTTAAGATGAAATAAACTTTAATTGGGCTTAATCCTTTCGCCAAATATTAAAACAGAACTTAAATTCCAATGATGAAATTCCAATGATCCAGAAAGTATCCATTGCGTGAAATTGTAATTAAAATAAAGCGTTTAAATGAATGAATTTTCTAAGCTTATTATCTGTGAAGATCCACGTTATGACTAGAAGTAGAAATATTTTAATTTTAGTTTCACCGAGACAAGCTAATGATGTGGATCAATTTCCCCCTGTTTTTCGGAGTTCTTGGCCTAACTAACTGCTTCAAGGAAGCAATAGCAGCATGTCCTCCAGGATATATCACAATATTGGACGACTGTTTACTCCAAAAGATTACAATTAATGGAAGAACATTCGGTTAAAAATCTCAGGATGAAAGAAATAAACTGAAAATCGCTTCAAGTCTTTTCGCCAAATATTAAAACACTTTTCGACTCAGAAGCGCGGTAAACCGTCTAAAGAGCGCGCTAAGTAAGTGGCCCAGTTCTAGCTGCCAACTTTCACTCGACTTCTGAGTTCCAGGGAGATACTACCATCACCCCTCTTTATTGCCATATTAATGCCCACGCACGCAATGTGTCCCTCGGCAGGATGCCAGGATGCAGTCCTGGGAGGGGATGCAGAGAGGGCTCGCAGTCTCCGGGAAGCCGATAAGCCGGCGCTATCAACGCCTTACATCCGCGCGTGGCTTGGCTGTGGTGGCTTCTGCTCTAGGACCTCCTCCTTGCTTGGCCCCCTTTGATTTTCCCGCTTTTCCCGGTTCCTGCATCCGCTTCCGTTCTAGCTGCAGCTGCCGGAGCTTGCTATCCTGTTTTAGTCTGATTTACAAGCATACACTCCTTGGTTTCCGCTGTGGGGCAGAGAGAAAAAATCTGATCTAGTTAATGCGTAGGATTAAATAAAAAAAATAATATTTTCTCATCTATTTTTTATCTTTTAAACTATAGTTTCCTGTTTAATTTTTCTGTAGAGCTCTTTATGTTTAAAAAAAATTCATTTTTCAGTGCACTAATGTGTATGTGTTTATCTGTGGCACCGTCGGAAAGTGAAACGCTTATGAAAACGTCCGGCCACCCCAGCTACTCGGCCACCTCAACTACCCACCTACCCAGCTATCCAGTTGACCTTCTTCGTTGATGCGCATTTGCCATGCAAAATTTAATATAAACCCTGGAGCCGGCTCCCTACTAATTTCCCAGCTGAAGAATGCTTCAAACCATCTAATGCATGCCCCCGAGTATGTGTGGGAATCCTCTTTTCCGGCTCTCGCCCAGTGATGGTATGGAGTGGTAAGAGCTTACCGAAAAAGAAAAAAGATAAACAATAAAGTCTTGACCCAGTTGAAAGTTGCTTTTTGGCCCAGCCCTTTGTCATCATCATCATCCGAGCTAGATCCTAGAAGCAGGGTGGTGCCAAATCCACCAACTTTACATAAAACAAGAAAGGAAAATTTACTCCGGGCAAAGCCGAAGTTGTATACCCTTTAGTCCATTTTCATGATGGGATGCCTTGAAAATGGGGTTTTCAAGCGGAGTACCTTAAACGATTTCTGGATCGATTTGCCACCATTCTGCATCAAAATCCTGAAACAAAATATTTTTTAGATTTTTTGTCCATTTTTCTGATGGGATCTGATGGGGGTTTCCTTGAAAATGGGGTTTTTCCCTATAGGGCCCACAGTGATGGCTATATCTTCCCCAATTATTATCCGATTCTCAAGCGGAGTACCTTAAACGATTTCTGGATCGATTTGCCACCGTTCTGCATCAAAATCCTGAGGCAAAATATTTTTTAGATTTTTTGTCCATTTTTCGGATGGGTTCCCTTGAAAATAGGGCTTTTCCCCTATAGGCCCCACAGCGATGGCAGTATCTTCCCCAATTCTCATCCGATTCTCAAGCGGAGTACCTTAAACGATTTCTGGATCGATTTGCCACCATTCTGCATCAAAATCCTGAAACAAAATATTTTTTCGATTTTTTGTCCATTTTTTCTGATGGGATCCCTTGAAAATGGGGTTTTTCCTATAGGCCCCACAGTGATGGCTATATCTTCCCCAATTCTCATCCGATTGTCAAGCGGAGTACCTTAAACGATTTCTGGATCGATTTGCCACCGTTTTGCATCAAAATCTCGAGACAAAATATTTTTTAGATTTTTTATTCATTTTTCTGATGGGATTCCTTGATTGTGGGTATTTTCCCCTATAGGGTCCGGAGTGATGGCTATATCTTCCCCAATTCTCATCTGATTGTCAAGCGGAGTACCTTAAACGATTTCTGGATCGATTTGCCACCGTTCTGCATCAAAATCCTGAAACAAAATATTTTTTAGATTTTTTGTCCATTTTTCCTGATGGGATCCCTTGAAAATGGGGTTTTCCCTATAGGCCCCACAGTGATGGCTATATCTTCCCCAATTCTCATCCGATTGTCAAGCGGAGTACCTTAAACGATTTCTGGATCGATTTGCCACCGTTTTGCATCAAAATCTCGAGACAAAATATTTTTTAGATTTTTTATTCATTTTTCTGATGGGATTCCTTGATTGTGGGTATTTTCCCCTATAGGGTCCGGAGTGATGGCTATATCTTCCCCAATTCTCATCTGATTGTCAAGCGGAGTACCTTAAACGATTTCTGGATCGATTTGCCACCGTTCTGCATCAAAATCCTGAAACAAAATATTTTTTAGATTTTTTGTCCATTTTTCCTGATGGGATCCCTTGAAAATGGGGTTTTCCCTATAGGCCCCACAGTGATGGCTATATCTTCCCCAATTCTCATCCGATTGTCAAGCGGAGTACCTTAAATGATTTCTGGATCGATTCTGCACCATTCTGCATCAAAATCTCGAGACAAAATATTTTTCAGATTTTTTGTTCATTTTTCTGACGGATCCCTTGAAAATGATGGAATCCCTTGAAAATGCTGTTTTCCCCTATGGGGCCCACTGTGATGGCTATATCTTCCCCAATTCTCATCCGATTCTCAAGCGGAGTACCTTAAACGATTTCTGGATCGATTTGCCACCATTCTGCATCAAAATCCTGAAACAAAATATTTTTTAGATTTTTTGTCCATTTTTCGGATGGGTTCCCTTGAAAATGGGGTTTTTCCCTATAGGGCTCACAGTGATGGCTATATCTTACCCAATTATTATCCGATTCTCAAGCGGAGTACCTTAAACGATTTCTGGATCGATTTGCCACCGTTCTGCATCAAAATCCTGAAACAAAATATTTTTTCGATTTTTTGTCCATTTTTCCTGATGGGATCCCTTGAAAATGGGGTTTTCCCTATAGGCCCCACAGTGATGGCTATATCTTCCCCAATTCTCATCCGATTGTCAAGCGGAGTACCTTAAACGATTTCTGGATCGATTTGCCACCGTTCTGCATCAAAATCCTGAAACAAAATATTTTTTCGATTTTTTGTCCATTTTTCCTGATGGGATCCCTTGAAAATGGGGTTTTCCCTATAGGCCCCACAGTGATGGCTATATCTTCCCCAATTCTCATCCGATTCTCAAGCGGAGTACCTTAAACGATTTCTGGATCGATTTGCCACCATTCTGCATCAAAATCCTGAAACAAAATATTTTTTAGATTTTTTGTCCATTTTTCGGATGGGTTCCCTTGAAAATGGGGTTTTTCCCTATAGGGCTTACAGTGATGGCTATATCTTACCCAATTATTATCCGATTCTCAAGCGGAGTACCTTAAACGATTTCTGGATCGATTTGCCACCGTTCTGCATCAAAATCCTGAAACAAAATATTTTTTCGATTTTTTGTCCATTTTTCCTGATGGGATCCCTTGAAAATGGGGTTTTCCCCTATAGAGCCCACAGTGATGGCTATATCTTTCCCAATTCTTATCCGATTCTCAAGCGGAGTACCTTAAACGATTTCTACATAGATTCCGCACAATTCTGTCCAGTCTCCTTTAAATCGTTTCAAGCTTTTGACCAAAATTAGAATACCCTCTGCAAGGGTATAAAAAGCCGGACGCTTACCGAAATTGAGACACAACCCGGAGCTAACCCGATACATTTTCCTTAAACATTTTTTCCTTCGATTTCTGCTCTGATTTTCCTTCTCTTCTTATTTCTTTTTTTTTTTTTTGCTCTATGGTCTGGTGATGTGGGGCAAAGTGCAGTCAGACAGTCATTGGATCATTTGTCTTGGCATTGTTGCTTTTTTCAACAGATTTTTGTGCTTTTTTATCTCGACTGTTGGGCAGCCGGACAATGCGGGCTTTTTCCGGCTTTTTGGGACTCAAAGGATCAGAGGTAGGAAGGATATAATAATGTGTGTAGTATGGTACTTATAGACATGTCTTTTGTGGTAATTGTTTAAGATGACTAGTATATATTTTTATTAAGAAACGACTTAAGCTCTCCTTGAATTGAATTGTTTTTACAATGTTTTAATTAAAACTTTTATATAAGCTCTCTGTAGGGTGCCACAATATCCTATGAGTGCCCATTTTAAAGTATCTTCACCCGAAATGTTGCACACAGATACTCCGCCCAACCACACACACACACTCACACTCACTGGGGGAACAAAAAAGTTACGAAAGCAAACAGAATCACTGCCCCCTGACTGGAGCTGAATGTTCAGAGCAAATGAAGGTGTCAAAATGACAAGCAGAGATGGCAAAAAAAAAAAGGAAAAGAAGGATGCACACACATACATATATAGACACATAGATACACACCACTACAAGTGTAGCGGGTTGGACGTGCGATGGATGGATGGATGGCTGCCTTCCTGGGGCCACCTAAGAACCGCCCTACAGGCTGCCATCCTGCCTGCTTGCCTGCCTGCCTTTCCGCCTGTTAGCCCGGCTAACTGTGTAAATGGCAAAGCGACAGCAGCATTTGCTAACTTTGCTGCAGCCAGCAACAAAGGCAACAGCAACAGCCATAGCAACAAAAACAACAACAGCACAGGATACTACATAAATGTATCTATATCTATCTAAGCGATGGCCGTGCATTGTATTGCAGTTACGTGCTCGATGGTCCAGCAAAATGGCGAAGCGAAAAAAAATCTCTGAAACAAAATCAACAAAGACAGCAAGCAAGCAGCAAGGCACCAAGAACAGCAGGAGTCTTCTCTTGAATACACTTTTGGCATAAACAGTGGAGCATCTTGGCCAATACAGCTGTGGAGGCAAACCAAGGAAACTATCTTGTAGTTTAAGAAATGCATAGAGACTCTTGTGATGAGACTTCAAGGGTTTAATTTTAAATATCTTTGCTGTTTCTAATTAGTATTTAAAATATATTAAACTAAGCTGAGCTTTCATCAATTTCTAATATTAGAAACACCACAAAGATTATTTTACCACAAAGATATTATAAGATTATTATCCAAATTAATCGGAAAAGTTACAATCCTTCGAGTAGAGCATTCGGTGCCAATGAAGCCAACAAAAGGGCTTAAAGACTTTGGCAATGCCAACTGCTTACTCACTTGCCAAATTGCAAAGCGGATTTAACTTGTAACAAAACTTTAAATGAGTTCAAGTGGATTTTGGGGCCATCCAACCCACTCCTAGTCATAGCACTACTATCCAGTAACGCCTCTGCCCTCTTGATGGCTGTACTTTGGGAGCTGATGGAGCATAATGATGATGGCTTTTCCCGATTGATTGATTGATTGATGGCCGTAAGGATGGCCGGAGCAGGGTGGCTGAACTAAAGACAATTTGCACTTGAAACTAAAGGCAGGGTCGCGCCAAAAATTCATATTTCTCATACGCCGCGTCAGCCGTCGTGCGGTGGATAATTTTAGACTTGCGATGCACATTGCACCTTCGCCCCTATGCGCCACCCTCATACCCCGAACTGCACGACCAATTAATTATGAATGTTTGAAATATACTTATATATTAATTTTATTATTAAACGACAAGCGTTTTTTATGGCGGCCGTGAGCCGGAAGTGCCGCCAGCATTCGGAAAACAAGCTGGCAAGGTGGCAACGGACGGCTGCCACATGGCGCTCTTGGCTCTCTGGCGGCCAGATTCTTCACCAGTTGCAGTCGGAATGGATCAGTGGACGGGTGTGCACCGGGCGTTCGTCATCCGCGCCTACTACAAGAGCAACGACTCCATCAGCACCGCCCAGCGGCTCTTCAAGAAACAGTTCAGCATTTACCAAACGCCGCCCACGAATGTCATCAAATCCTGGCTAAGGCATTTCGAGAGCACCGGATCCTCGCAAGGAGGGTGCTATGCCAGATCCTCCCTACCGGTAAGTAGTGACACGAGTCTGGAATGTGTAGATACATTTTTAAATTAAATATTTATGCATTTTTTGCAAATAAAGTGAAAAATGGGTCATATTTGAATTTTAAATTAAAAATAGAATTATTAGAATGTTAAAGTAATTATCTCAGCGAGAGCTCACAGAATGCAGGCAATCAAAATTTAATTGAAAATAAAATGAAAAATGTGATCAAAATTATTAAAACATATATGATGATAATATTATTCGATGTGATTTAAAAAAAAGGATTAAGAGTTTTGTGTATTCAATTTTCCATGCTCCAACATGTGTTTAATAATAATTCTTTTCAAATAAATAAATTACTTGTTCTAAATATACACTCACCTAAGTATGTATATGTCCACAGTTGTATGATATTTTTACACTCATACTTATATATCTTATAATAAAAACATATTTATTTATTTTCCAGCAAATCTTCTGCACTATTTGCAATCAATGCCTAAGTAATGAGAAGAACTTTACCAGCTCCGTGAAGTGATGGAGAGTGTTTGCGTGTTGAAGGACTCCAAATATAGATTAAGATGTTTATGGCATATAAGTTAGTGTGTACGATTCGCAAATAAATTTCTTGGCTAATTAACAAGCTTGCCAAATCAACACAAACGCCCGCTGGCTGGCTGTCTTGACCCACTTGCTTGTTTGCATTTCTGAAAAAATATTTATATGCAAGACCAAAATCAGAAATTCTTTTGGGCAAGTGTGTCATGAAATTGCCATTCGTTTCTGCTCTATATGTACATACATCTAGTACCTGGCCAGACAGCAAATATTTTCCAAATATATATGCGGTACATGTATATTTCGACGTGTTTATAAACGCAATTTCAAATTGGTAAGTTATCCAGGCGGATTAAATCGTAATTCATGGCCAAAACAAAACCGCTGCCTCTGTGTTTAGACAAATACATATTTTTGGTCGGCAATTACTCAAGCTGGGATATGACGCAGGTGTGGTCGCAGGTGAAGCCTTGGGAGTGGTGCCGGGAGATCTACAAGGACCACTATTCCTGGTCATTCGTCAAGTGCGCCCTGGTCTTCTCGGCCGGGGTAGTACTTATTCGCAGCCTAGATGGTAAAATGCGAGCCTGACTTGTAAGCCTTTCGCCTGGGGGCTTCCAAATTCCAGATGCTAATAATTGTATTATAATATTATTGTAACATAATTGTTGATTTACAAATGAATTAAATATGTAAAACCATAAAGTTAAGTTTTAGCTCTTTGTTGCCATAATTTTAGTCAAAATCTGAGCCTGTCAGCTTTCCCGTTTCAACCATTTCCCAGGATGATGTCTTGCCCAAAATGTCCACTCCGATGGGATATCATTTGGCTGTCATGTTATTTCAAGTAAAAAACCATGTGTGAGAGGCTTGATGACAGCTATCCTGACACCGAGGGTGGGAGGCAGCTCCCCCATCTCGGAGCTGGGGAGATTACAATCGGAAAATACGCATAAGGTTTTACATTCCTGGCCGTTGCTGGTGGCATTAGTTTGAGATATGTGGCAGCGGCGCTTCCGCCTGGGGCAACAAAATAAAATTAGGAGGCGCTTTTAGCCATAAACATAAAAATTGTTCCTGCATCAGTCCTCCCCGAAGCGTTCGCTTCTCCGGAAAGCAGCATCAATGCCTGTCGCAAGGACTCGCCAATCCTCCCGTCCTCAGTCCTTAGCCAGCAGCGATTCCCTGGCATCATAATTTCGAAATGACAGGTAATTTGGAAGCGGCAACAGGAAGAGGAAGTGTAAGTGGATGTGGCGCCTCGATGCGGGGCAGGATCGTATGAAGTGCGAGTACCAAATGGGAAAATGATGCGGGTTTATTAAGTATCGTTACTCAAAAGGAACAACCTGCCCAGATACTACCTCCCCAAAACGAAATCCCTCGCAACAAATTTATGATGCCCCTCCTGAAGAAAAAAGAAAAAAAGTGCAGAAAAATATATACTGTAAGGATGTACCAAGATGTAATGAGTGGGGGTGGATGGCGGATGTATGTACCTTCTCTGCAATCTTCCACTGATTTAAGCCCGAGAAAAATGCTGCCGCACATGAACATGCAACTAATGAGTTGAGTTATTTACGCCGAGAGGTGGTGCATGGCGGCAAGTCAGGCAAGGTGTTCTATATAGGACACGCTACGGGGAGTAATGCTGCGCTCCTCCACGACGGGTGGTTTAAACTCTAATTGAAATTTAGATAGCTGCTACGTGTGGCAGCCAGGAAATCATTCGCCAGGTGTCAAGGCAGGTGATGAGTTGAACACCAAGAACCCGGAACGGAGTAGCACCCGGAATGTGCGTGGAAATTGGCCACGAAAATGCCCGAAGCTTAAATGCCTCGCCAAGTCAAGACCCACGAAGTTGAAGAAGAATTTCTAATTTAGCCCGAGGCTGTCTAATTTATTATCTCGCAAGAGTTTAGAGTTCTTAAAACAATTGTACATTTTATACCTCTTATAGCCCCATTAAATAATTAAGCAAAAGTCCAAGTAGGCTTAATTACTGATTATGTATAAACCTCAGGCTTTATAGCCACGCATTTATAGCTGGCTTATAGCCAGGAACATCTGGCTTATATCGGAGCACTCATGTCGCCGGATATCAAGCATCACATTGGCCATATTTCATTATAGAGAGCCTTGCAGCTCGTTTAACATTTGGCTATTAAAAATGGCGCCATTGATGCGAATATTTATTGTAGCCGGGCTTTTTCATAATGTTGGATTATCTAGGCACATGTCTTGCCAAGATTTATGGGCCAGGAATTGCACGCTGGCGGCATGGAGTGGCGCGGCGTGGCACTGGAGGAGGCCAAGAGTCGGCTTTAAGCTGTAAGGAAATTGAAATCTTAAGCTTTATTGTTTCACTGGCCCTCTTTCCCGTTTCCCGACTCAGTTTCGGCCTGTGGGGGATTCCCCTCGTGGCGACGCATGCAAAGTGAAGCAAGAAAGTGAATAAAACTGCAGCAAAAGCAATTTTCATAAATATTTAATGGATAATGGCGAAAATAAGCGCAAGGAGCACGGCGCAGCGCAATGATGATGAGAGCCAGAGGGGCAGCCGGATAGGGCACGGGGTGGGGAAATGGCCTCCTGTTCTTGCCCCACATGTATCTGATTCGTGTCCCCCATTTTCCACCCCATCTCCGATGTCGATGTATTGTTATGTTTGTGTAGATATATGACTCTCATACATTCCTGGGCCACTCACATTCGCAGGCACACCACACCGTATTGATATGTCAGCATAACGTATGTGTGTCTGTGGATGAATCCTGTTTCTTCGTTCTCCTGTTTCGGTCCAAGGACCAGTGATACTCATTAAATAAGAATGAAAGGTTATACATTTTGATTATACAACGAAAAAAAGCTAATGGGGGGTTTCTACCATATAGATTATTTAATAAGAATCGAATTCTACCAGAAAACTCTTTAAAATATTATGGAAAAATATTTTATATAAAAGCACCTCAAATGCCTCTTGAAAACTCAAAAACTGAGTCGCATTTTCACGCCAAATGAAGCACGGGTCCGTCTATAGTCCTTGGATGCTCCTGGCCGCTTCGAGTCCTTCAAGTGTGCCCATTACAGACGGCAGAAATCATAACAATAAAAGTGTGACAGGGAGGCAGGGCCCTGGCCGGCCTGGCAAAAGGACTCTCGCTCGTCCTGGGGCGAAGCTCCCCTCACTTAATCGATGATGATGAATAATTGATTCGCTGCGATGCGCCCAAGCATGGAAATGAAAATGTCGGTGCACGAGGGGAGCGGCTTTCTGTTTCTGTTTAAGTTTCGGTTTCAGTCCGATTCTTTACACGTGTATGTGTATGTGTGTGTGTGCGTGTGTTGTTGTGTTCTACTGTGTGTAACGAATGGCAAATTTCAGGAAGCGGAAATGGCAATTGCAAGCGATGGCGGACGAGAAAGGCGGCGGAATGATGGCGGAAAGGTAAAACGAAGGCTGAGGGGCAGGAGGAAATGGTGGCAGTAGAAAGACAACGGCTGAGGCAAATGTGAAGTTGTGCGCTAAATGAAATGCCAACACAGCAACACGGCCCAGCAAAACCGGAAATAGCAAATGCGAATGACGCTGGATTGTTGGACGCTTGAATGGTTGAGCACCTGGCGGAGGTGGGAGGGTGGACCGGACAGGTGCCAAGGCAGGCAATTTGCTGGTATTTAAATTCCATTTGGAATTCGGTTAAAAGGTGTCTGGAACAAGTATATGAAAAAATCGCCTCCAAAGCTTAAAAAAAATCCTTACTTTTAAAAATCCTTTAATAAAATCCTTTAAAATCCAATTTATTCACCTCTTGAATTGAGTTTCGCTTTCTGTTCTATTTTTTTTATCCGATTCCATCACTCAATTGTCACTAGAACGCCAATTTTCACAGTTTTTCTTTCCTTCCAGGCGATTTAAAAATATAATCGAATTGAATATTTAAATTCGTGACGAGTTTTCTGCGAAAACTGGACGATGGGAAACCGAAAGCAATGCGGCTTCTGGCAGCTTTTCTGGCTGTCAGCTCTGCACAAAATTAGATTTAAATATTTTGGCATTTCCATCAATTTTCATATAATGCAACTCGTCTGGTCTCGTTTGTGCCTTTTTGGATCTTTGGTTGTTGGGGATTGCAGGTCCTGTTGCATGGAGGAATGCTGATAGTGAGTGGGATTCAACTGTGGCAAGTCATTCCAGGACACACACACACACACAGAGGCAGCGAGAGGCAGAGACAACCACACATACTCAATCATTTATGCAGCAATCAGTGCTGACGTCTTTTCCACACGTACGATTACCGGCGTAGAGAGGTCGACTCTACTCTCGGTTATGTGGAGCATATTGGGAATCGAAATTGAGTGCGGGTTGACAATGAGGCTGCCAGTGAGATTGTGGCAGCCCATCTGGTGGAGAATCTGGGTTTCAAGCCGAATTCCAGAAATTTAAATCAATGGCACATGACTACACTGCGTATGAGTGATATTGCCGTAAGGATTGATTTCTGTCCAATAAATTCTGTACTGTCTGTAAAGATTTTATTGAAATCCTCTGAATAAATATTAACAATTTACAAAAACTAATATTTTTTCATAAAAAGTAATAGCTTTCATAAATTCAAGTAGTCTATAATCAAATAAAATATCATTCTTCACAGCCCGTAGAGTGCATTTCACAGCAAATGCACAAAAAAATTCCAATTTGATGATTTGAAGGTTGAAATCAAATTAAGTCAAGTGAATAAATTGACTTTTACTGCATATCAAAATCGCTGAAAGAGTAAAAAGGTGGGAATATCGAATAAAAAATGAAAGTGGCAAAAAATAAGTTGAACAAATAATTCCCCAAAAGGCAGTCGCATGAAAACAAGCAAAGGGAACTAAAATATTACTTTTAAAACGATTTCAGAGGGAAAAAATAAAAATAATCACTAGAAAATAGATCAAGTAAGCCTTAGAATTTTTAAATACTTCATCAAAGTAGTCCAGCTGTTTGGAGAAAGCTGATATTTCATCAGTATACAGTCTAGTCTTGTTGCGGTAACAACAAGATTTTAAAATATAATTTCAAATTTCAAATAGTTAATAATAATTCCTTGAAAAAGCCATGATTGAAGAAGTTGAGAGCTTTGCGGATCTGATTTCCTGCAAGAGCGTCACCAAGGAGCTGGAGTTGCCGGATGTGCGTCGCATCAAGGACATACGCAAGTTTATGGCCGACAAGAATAACTACAATGGCAACATTAATGAGTTGATAAATCGAATGACTGCCAAAACTGATCAATGTGAGGGTGTCCTCAAAGTTCTTAAGGACAAGCTGGAACTGAAAATGGCCACGCTCCATAAGGTTAAGCAGGATATGATGGAACTGAACCAAGATTTGAAGACAGGCGGCGCCACCAAGAAGTACGTCACTGAGAAAACCAAGATTGCTGTCCGTTTCATGGACGAAGTGGAGGTGCATCATCTAGATATAGCAACTTCTCTAGAGAAGTATAATAGCAAAATTGATGCCCTGTTTAACGAAATCATGGGTCTGGACGGAGACATAGACTATGTTAACTTCTTGACAGGAATTGCCATGTTGAACATTAATTATGTTATGGAATTTCATAAGATTGAACAGGCCGAATCTTCCTCATCCCAAGAAGAACCGTCCTCGGAACCATCCGAATCAGTTTAGAAAAAATGTTTAATAAAGTTTAATTTTTTAATTCGTTACTGATAGAATCTCTATTTTTATCTCTCTGAGAAATCTTAAATAAAAGCCCCGCTTCTTGCAACATCCTAGACTGAGATTGGCTGTACTGTCGTTTATACTTGAACCCCTCCTACCAGCCACTACTCCTTGTGGCTCCTTGTGTTCTCTCCTTTCACCTGTCAGTGGCAGCCCGCTGGCCGCTTCATCTTCATTCCCCGTTCATGAATAATCCGTGCGACACTTGCGTTTTATGGCTTTGCATAGTTAGGAGCTGCTGCTGCTCCTCGACGACCATCCAGGACACCTTCGCTTAGCAGGCGTTTAGCTGGACCAGAGGGACATGCCGGAATCTAGGATCTAAATGGAAAAAAAGAAAGTGCCAGAAAACACAGCCATCTCAGCAGGAGAATGAAAACAATTTAATTAAAGTTACTTAGAACTTTGTAATATTCAAAGCCCTTATATGAAACCTTTTTGTAATTCATATTTTTTTCGTGTTATCCCTAATTTCTCTCTGTGCAGAAAGCAGGAAGCCAACAACAGGTTGCGTGCCAATGCAGTTTTTCATTGGGACTGTCGGTGCTGATAGCGAGTGTAATTATTATGCCGCACTGTGGGCCAGTTGGGGGGGATCCTGCGGAGATAAAACAGAGGGAAAGGACGAATGGTTCTATTGCTAGTCCTGTTTTCCGTTTATATTTCGCTTTTCTGCATTTTTTATTTTCCCTTTTTTTTTTTGCTGCTGTTTCATAGCCGCAAACGCATAAACGCCCTGTTGTTGTGCAATAAATAAAATGCAATTGTTGCGCCATGACTGGGCCAGGGCATAGTGGGCGAGAATAGTGGCTTACAGGACAGGATTGGGAGTTGCCGCCATGTTTGCGAACAACTGCAAGATGGCGCCCCGCATCCGTTATGCCTGAACATCCACTTTCGCCGTTGTCCTGGTTGTCCCGGTTGTTCTGGGTACTCTGGTTGTTGTGTCTGCAACTCTTCCGGTTTTGGAAAGTTGTCGCGTTTCGGAGCTCAGCGGCATCCGTTGTCTTTCTGGCTTAGTTGGCGCTGCTTTAATTTCGACAAAAACATCGTTCGTTTTTGAGCACTACTGCCCGTCCTCTGTCTTGGTTTGAAAAAGGTCAAAGGGCGGCATAAATAATGCCAGCGACGACGGAGGGGACAAAGTTGCGGCAGGACTCGAGTCCTGGACATGCTTGGCCTGCATAGAAATTGCAGTTTACAGTTGCTAATTGAGTGTGCCAAGTCTGTGCAGGTGGCCTAATGTAGGTAATTAGTGCACGGCAACTTTTTGGCCAAAAAGATTTCGGCACAAACTTATCCCAGAGCCTGGGATGTCCTTTGTCAATTGCATAACTTGTCGTTGTCCTTGCCGAGCTAAATAATTTTCCCAAGAGGGGATAACAAAAGGGGAAGCTTGAATCAATTATGGGTTTCGTTTAAATGATGGATAGTTTAACTTTTAAAGTTTATAACTTGCAGACTTTGTTTTTAAGATGAAAGAGAGTCGGGGGATGCTGATTTTAAATAATTAACAGTGTCATTTGATAGCCAAACTCACCTTTCTGAAAAAAAAACATATGCGAACTGAGAGTTGAAATCCAATTAAAGCCACACGAACACACCGGGATAATGCAGTTGTTATGGGAATAAGTTGGCAGGAAACCCGGTTTATGGGCAATCTGAGAGATGCCGACCGATAGCCTCCGTACGGGGCACGTGAGTGGCGCATTGTCTGGGCGGACAACGAGGACAACTTGCCACATGTGGCAAATTAACTTAAAATTAAGCAATTAATTTAATTAGAGCACGGCGTGTGCACAGCACAGCCCCCACAGCCCCACAGACCCCACACACAGCCCCCAAGATTTGCCGCACACGCAACAGTTGCAATTAAGCAGACTTCGCATACAGATGCTGCAACTGTGGCAGTGGCACGCCCACACACCATGGGAGTTGCAGTTGCAATTGCAATTGCTGCACTTTAAGCGGAAATTACAAACAAAAATGGATAAAGCTGGACAACCTGGACATATGATATAAAAATCATTTTATATAAGTTGAAAAATTGGCTTACGCTTGGCTCTTAACAGAAAGCCAAAGAATTCCAGAACTGTCACAGTTTCCATTAACCAATTAAAGGCAATTCATCAACTGACATTTGCAATTTCCAGCAAAAAAACCTGTAACTTTATTAATAAGCTGGGAAAAGTTGTACATATTTTTTAATGAAAACTCTCCCTTCCAATGACAGGGAACATGAAAAGTTGTTTAAAGTCAAACGGAAATTGTTTCAAATTAAGTGAAAATTTAAATTAAAACGAGTTACGATTCGAGTTGGGAAACAGACTTCAGCTCAACAGTAGTGGCTTTTGTGGAAAATTATTTCTCAACAAAAATGGAATTAAAGCCAAAGGAAAATTCAGAGGAATATCTGGAGTGTGAATAAAGTTTTTCTGTAATTTTCATTTTGATGAATAAAGTTTGCGGCAATACTTTGCCTTCCACACCGAGTTTCTTTCACAATTTGTAAATTGTAATTTTATGAAATTTACATTTTAAAAAGGTGGCAAAGTGTAAACCTGATTTTGAAATCTGAATTTATTGATTCAAACACAAGTATTTAATCACAAAAGTATTAAAGTTCACTTTATTATTTCAGTCTTATGGCTAAGATCCAATTAAAGGCTTCTCGAAACTATATTGTTGAGTCATCAAGCGCTTTCGGCCGCATTGGCTGCCAAAAAGGGAAAATTCAGCCCCTTCAGCATGCCGAACAGCTTTCTGCTATCGAAGAGAATGGCCAAAAAAAAAAAAATTCGTAAGAAAGGCAGATTGGTTAGACGAGGCGTAAGAGGCTTAGTGGGAATTTTTTTCCTATTTTGGTTTACTTACTAGATGGAGTCGGTGCACTTGCCCTGGGCATCTCGCACCTGGTGGTTCCGGCATCGAGCTGGTTTCTTGGTGGCCGGATTCGAGGATCGTTGAACCTTGACCTTGAAGATGGGCGAGTTGTGGCCTTGGGGCGGGGTGTACTCAATGCTCTCGGGAAGGGAGGGAGGTGTATTAGCAGCAGCAGCCGCAGCTATTATCGGCACATCTTTAGATCTGGCGTGGAGCGGTGAGGCGGGATGATGCAGTGGTTTAACAGTGGCACCACCAATCGGTGTCTCCACAATCATCAGATTATTCAACCTGGATTTGGGCTTCGAAGAGATGGTGGTGGGGCTGGTGATTTCAGCAGGGGGTGCTCCCGCTGTGGTGCTAGAAGTTGTTGTGGTGCTGGAGCTGCTGGTGCTACTGGTGCTTGCCTCGGTGCTTAACTTGATCGGTTTGACGGTCAACGCACTGTCATCATAGTAGTAATCCTCCTCATCGTTATACGACTCCTAATTGAGAGATCCAAAGTTTATTTTTAGCAACTCGTTAGCCGCATAGCTTTCAACTGGTTTCTGATCAAAATACTCACTTCGGCCAGCCCGTTCTGGCCCACCTCGATGATGGCCACATCCTTGATGCTCACATGGATGTTGTATTTGCCAGTTTGCCGTTGGTCGAAGACCACTCGTCCTCCATCTGGTCCTCCCGGCCCTTCGCTGGTCGATGGCGTTTCAATGGCCTCATCAACGACGGGCAGCGTTTGGGCCAGGCCGAAAGTGATTACAGCCAGCGATATGAACAGCATTTCACAAATTCGTCTTTAAACCAGTTCTCTTAAAGAATTTCTTTGACTTCTAAGAAGAACGTGTGTGCTTATTGGAGGTTCGATCAACACTGGACAGGTCGTGGCGGAAGAAGGGCCTTTTTAAGCCCTACACAGATACACTGAGGAAAAATAACTATAAACATGAAGAGGTTATTCGGAAACTAATAAACCTGCTCTTTTGCCTAACTTATTGCTTTAAAGTTAAGTTGAAAGTAAGACACTTGTTAAGATTTAAATTAAAACTAGATTAGGCCAACCACTATCTCATACTCAAATGACCATTAAAGCAAGCCCTTATGTAGCTCAAAACTAATACACTTTGTACATAAATATTCCATGTACTTGTCCATAATATTTACTATTTACTCAGCAAGCATGAATGCCACCTTTGAGGTGCTAAGGAGCCACTCGAAATAGCTAGAACGCCAGCTGAAACTAACTGGCCAACTAAGTGACCTGGCTAATACCAAGTGCATATACATATATAATCATAAAGGTAAACAGATAGACATCCAAGCAAATAGCCAAACAGTCCGGTTGAGTTGCGTTGAGCCTGGCAACTGACGTGGGAAGTGGCTATAAACTTTTGACAGAATATTTAACCTGTTTATTATCTGCTTTAAACTGAAAGACAAATTATAGTCCAAGCCATAATTCATGGGTCAGTTCGCACTTGACCACTTGAAGTTCTTCGAAAACTCATTAATCAACCCATGTATCGAATTCGCCAATTCTGGTTCACCAATTAGTTTCCATTGAGTCATTAGCAGAGGTCAGTTTCTTGTGCGAAAACCAATCAACGCCAGAACCATTTACATAACACCTAACCACTAATTATGCAATTATGCAAGCCAAGTTCCTAGGAAATCATATGCCAGGACTATGACTAGGACCAGGACAGTCGGTCGACTCATTTGTATGCAACGTCATGGAGAGTGCAAAATCAGCATTTCTCATTAGACGAAATTCGCAGACCTCTTCGCAGAAGCTGAAGCTCCACAAAAAATTAGATTAATTTGAAATGAATTTTCATCCAGTTTCCTTCTGGCCGGGCCGGCATTTGTAATTAGTTTTTAGCGAATTCTGGGCCGCAAACATTTCAAGGTTTAATGCATGGCTGGCGAGCCTTGAGAAAAGTTTTTCGCCTTTTGGGTCGGAGGACCTCTGTCAAGCTCGGCGTCCAAGGAAGGCCGAGAAAAGGGCGAAAAAAAGACGTGGTAGCAAGGAGGTGGGCCGAAGGAGATGGCCGCATATGAAGTGTATAAATTACACTTCATCATGAATTTATTATCAGGGCTGGAGCAGATGCAGCTGGAGGTGAAGCTGATGCTGATGCTGCCACGAAATGCACCATGGCAGCACGCTGGCTCAGCACAAGATGAGGTCCTTGCTCACCTGCTGGCCCACAAACACATACAAAAGATGCCAAACACGCAGCAAACCCACTTAGAAAAATTATTCTATTAAAAAGTGTGTTTTATATGTTAGTACTTTTCGCTTTTAGAGCTAGCCAAGATTTTTATTTTTGATCCTAAAATCTTAAACATTTTTATTAAAGAAATATAATTTTCTGTGTATCAACAACAGCATTTATGGGATGTTGACCAGAGCATGCATTTTTCGCGCCAGCCAACTTGAAATTGTGTAAACTCAGCGGAAAAATATTAATTCTAATTTCCAAAGCCACCACCCCAAGGACCAAGGACTTTCGTCCAGACCACTACCCTTTTACAAATGCTCTTCGTTTATCTGCACCTTTAATTCCCTTCTTTATACAAAAGTTCTAGAGGTTGTTTGGAAAAAAAAATGTAAAAAATACAATAATGGGAAGCTTACTAGGACGAAGTCGAACTTGATATACCCTGGATACAATTTATTTATTGGATTATAGTTGAAGTGAGTTGCTCACGTGGTGAGTCATTGAAAGTGAGCCCATAAAGTGCTGCATTGATAACCCTAACCATTGAAGCTTAAATTAATTGAAGTACGATTAGTAATATTAAAAATAAAAAGAGCCTCCCCCTTCAATCCATGGAAGTCCTGGCAGAGGACCACCTTATTTTGTAAAAATAATTGGTTAAAAACAAACAAATGAAAAAAATAGAGATAGAAAAAAATAAGAAAAGAAAGATATCAGAGTCGTATTTCTTGGAAACCGAGGACCGATTGTTTATAGTGATACATTTTTTATTGATAAAATAAGTAATTAAAATAAGAAGAAACATTTATTTTAAGAAGACACGGAAATGGCTCAGAGTTCTGCTACAACAACCGAGACAACTAACGAGACAACTACCGAATGAACAATTAAATAAATAAAATAAAAAAGGAAGAAAAATAAAAAAATGTTGCCACAATGGTACTTAGTGGATAATTGGTTTTGACTTCATCAACGTAAGAATTCATTGCTCGCAATAATGAATTAAAATAATAAAATAAGATAAATATGATTAAATTATGGTATTAAAGTATTTATTGATGTGGATCAGAATAGCAAGGGCTCCCAATAATAAATTAATACATTTTTAAATTTATCGATGAAAATAAGAAAAGAAGGATATCAGAGTCGTATTTCTTGGAAACCGAGGACCCATTGCTTATAGTGATACATTTATTGTATAAAATAAGTAATTAAAATAAGAAGAAACATTTATTTTAAGAAGACACAGAAATGGTTCAGAATCCTTCTGCAACCGCCAAGACGAAAAGTGAATGAATAAATAAATAAAATAAAAAATAAGAAAGAAAAATAAAAAAAGGTTGCCACAATGGTTCTTATTGGATAATTGGATTTGACTTTATCAACATAATTCATTGCTCGCAATAATGAATTAAAATAATAAAATAAGATAAATATGATTAAATTATGGTATTAAAGTATTTATTGATGTGGATCAGAATAGCAAGTGCTCCCAATAATAAATTAATACATTTTTAAATTTATCGATGAAAATAAGAAAAGAAGGATATCAGAGTCGTATTTCTTGGAAACCGAGGACCCATTGCTTATAGTGATACATTTATTGTATAAAATAAGTAATTAAAATAAAAAGAAACATTTATTTTAAGAAGACACAGAAATGGTTCAGAATCCTTCTGCAACCGCCAAGACGAAAAGTGAATGATTAAATAAATAAAATAAAAAATAAGAAAGAAAAATAAAAAAAGGTTGCCACAATGGTACTTAGTGGATAATTGGATTTGACTTTGTAGATGTAAGAATTCATTGCTCGCAATAATGAATTAAAATAAAATAAAATAAATATGATAAAGTTATGGTATTTTAGTATTTATTGATGTGGATCAGAATAGCAATTGCTCCCAGTAATAAATTAATACATTTTATAATTTATCAAAGAAAATTAGAAAAGAAAAGGACCTGAAAAAAAAGGTTCCCACAATGGTACTATGTGGATAATTGGATTTGACTTCGTAGATGTAAGAATTCCTTTAAATGCTCGCAATAATGAGTTATATTCAAATATGATAAAATTAAAATAAAAAATAAAAATAAAAAAAATATTGCAGAAGTTTTTAAAGACGCAATGAACGGAAACCGCTTTCAAGAGTAAATTGTAAATTAGTAAAATAAAACAAATAAGAAATAATAAAAAATTATAAAATCAGAAAAAAAGGAAATTTTTTTGTGTGAAATAAAAATAGGTGTTCACACCTTGTCGCCCGGAGGCAGACTGAACTCTGGAATTATTTTCACTGAGGTCCAAATATATTCTTGAAAAGGCATTCTAGACAGACCAAATTTTAAAAAAGTATAAATCCAAAGGTTACTCTTCTGTAGCCATGGAAACGAGCTACCGATATCATGATACAATTATACAATTAATTTTATCATAACCGATATAAAAAAAAAAACAAAATGTGTACAAGAGGACATTATAATTTGAATCCTCATCCTATAGATTACGATATAATGTTAATTGCGAACTTAAAAAAAAAAGACCAAACTTGTAACTGCATATTATAGCTTGTATCTAAAGATTTTAGCATTTTCGACCAAAGACGGACATTCATATATTTATTAACTTAATATGTCGTTGTCGGAGATGTTTTCCTAATTGCGTTGCACACTTTAGCAAAAAAATAATAATACCCTCTGCAAGGGTATTAAAATGGAAGGATTTCAAGTTTTTTGCTGTCGTTTCAGGAGCAATGGAAGCTTTCATCAATTAGCTGCTTGAAAGCTAAAAAAAGGCAGCCGTTGAGTAGCTTTTAGTGTCGCAGGATTGCCAGGATAAAGGCTTACGCAAACCACCTACCTTCTGCCTACTTCGTAAATAATTGTCAGGCTTAAGGGGCTTGTTGGGAATCGGACTCTCAAGTGCCTGAGTGAAATGGACTGTTAAACAACAAGATGCAGCTGCTGGTAATTTGGGAACAGTTTGTAATTACAATTCTCCAAATTCATCAACCTCCATTGAATTTATTGAGTGAAAAGGATAATTTAAAGCGTTAAATATGATGATACAATTAATGGCAAACCTTCAATGGAAATGTTTGAAGAGATAATACTCTACCTAATAGAGGATTTCCAAATATATAATGGCACATGAGGGACATTTGATGGCAAATAGCAACTAAACAGCCCGCATATTATTCCATTGATTGGTAAACAAATTGAAAGTTCAAACTCAAAAGGGCTTATACGAGCGAACATGTGTGCTCCCTTTCGGCCATGGGTGGTGTGGTCGAGCAGCATTATGTTATAAATCAGGCTTTGGTATATTCATATTTTATCTATTTGCTTGCTGAGGAGATAAATAACCCAATCTGAGCAAATTGGTTTTTATGTCTTACTTTGAGGCGTTTTCATTGGGAAAATATATTGAGTTTACTTTTTAGAATGATGACATAAATTTTACTTTTCATTTATGTAAATATTAGATTTTATTTTCTCAAGCCTAAGAAAAGGTAAAGTATTTAAAATATATATAGCAGGAATTGTTTGTTGTAAGTCAAATTCATGTTTAATAAAGTTATGGTGCCAAATCCCAAAGGTAAACCCCAAATAGGGTCTTCTCGTTGTCTTATTTGTGTGCACTTTGGCCTTAACTGTCAGCCAGGCGGGAAAATGAAAAAAATTAATTCGATAATTAAACACAGTGCGCGCATCGTTTTAATCTGTGCGCACATTTTGCATATTAATCACTTAATTAGGTTAACATTATTAAAATAAACACGAGCCAGTCTCTTCGTTTTGGCCCGTATTTATCAGGCAAACACCAGCACACACACTGGCACATAGATGTGACTTCATTTCAGGCGACACAGGTGTCTGAAATGGAGGGCTCAAAGGCTCACGGGTAGATGGAGAGTATTTCTGTTCATTAGCAGGAAAAAAACACGAAACTAGTGTGAAAAAGTTTCAAAATGCCAGGAATGCCAGCGATAAGATAGGCGGAAAAATACGAAACATACGTGTGTGAGAGTGGGTCCTTATCGCAGGACACATAAATAATATTTATTGTTCTTTATGGGGGCCAGCTCAGAAGGCCCGCGAAGATGCCAACCCCAAGGCCTAGTGTCAGTTGGGAAACATTCAAGTGTTTCGAATATTTTTTAACAGCTTCCCCCCGGTGGAAACCAGCCTCCCTCCCACTCCCACTACCACTGCCGTTGCCACCGACATCCACCCACGCACACACGATGTCCTGGAAAATGTCTTCATTGCGCTTTAATGAAATGCGTGGCAGAGCAGGGAAAAGCGGGCTTAGTTGCGTTGGCTGGGGGGATTCCCCGTTTGCCTTTCGTATTTGCACTTTAAATTGCGCACAAAAGTATGCTACAGCCTTCATAATAAACACAATTTATGTTTCGTGCAACCTTTCATTTCGCTTCTCCCTTCTATCGTTTCCTCTTTTGGCAAACATTTCACTGTCAGAACTTTGCGATTAAGTAATTCCAAAAGTTGTTTGTAAAAAATTACTCAAGTTCATGGAATGTGTTTGCTAGTAATATTTTAAATTGAGCGACACTGTCTGATATTAATAATATTTTTTGGGGGGCATGCCCCGTGCATGGCCCGTGTATCTCTGACAAAAAACTTTCAACAGACTTCACAGAAGAACGGCTGAAACGAGTTTATCCCGCCACAGAAAAGAGACATCAATCACCTGGAGCATCAATCATTTTGAGGTTCACTTAGCAGAAGGTGAGTGGCGAATTTTGAGGAGATGTTCGTCATGATTGCAATGTGTCAACAGGGGAAATTGTATATTTGTTGGTGGTTACTTGTTATTCTAATTTTGATTTTATTGGTTAAAGAAAGTGGGGGAAGGAAAAGGGTTAAGTCCTAACCACCTACATAATTGTCCTTTGAAAATACAAATTTCTATGCTCCATGACTTGCTATATTTTCTAAACTAAGAGATCCTTTGCCTGATTAAGGACTAACTATATAAATAGAGACCCATTCCCATTCCCAGTCAGTCTTTAAATATGCTCGTTGGTCTCTATTTCGTTTTGGGGCTTTGGCTTATTTCCGTTGTTTTGGCCTGGCCCACGCTACCCATCCATGGTGACAACCGCGAATCCCAATTCCTGCACAACCTAACCAAACAAATGGCCTCCAGGAACAAAGTCGACTCCTTGGCGCTGTTTGGGGTTAATCGTGAGATGCAACGGAGAAAACACATCCTGGTGGAGTCCCTTGAAGAATGTCTAACGGAGGCCTTTCAAAAGCCAATCGTTGTCTGGGGACTGAGGCGCAACATCACGTTACGCCGCATCCTTGGCGAAAGGACCCTCGTGTGTGTTAGCATAAGCAATGTCTCGCCCAAGGAAGAACCTATTTTTGATGTCCTGATTCTATTCATTTACAAGCGATTGGAAAGCCAGCCACCCACAATGGATGAACTAAAGAACATGTTCTCCTGGTGCTGGCGCCAGAAGTTCATCAATGTGTTTGTCACCTATCAGAAGATATCCTTTACTAATACTTCAGCCGGGAGAAACGTGTCCTGGGAAAATTACCTATACACCTATACGGCTTTTCCGGAGGTTACGGTCAGGAATCTTACCCAGACGGGCTACCGACACACGGACATTATGATGGACTTTCGCGGCTACGAGTTTCGAGTGCCTGTCTATCAGGATGCTCCCAGTGCTTTTTGGGTAAGTATCATCTTTCCGATCTGATCCCTAATTCTTTACTTCGATTTTCAGCTATCAGATGGCAGACTTTCCGGGACCTTTGGCCTCATGTTCGCCGCCTATGTTCATCACAGAAGGGGGCGTTATCGCCTGGAGCCCGCTGTTGACGTGGACAGGTACAACTACCATGAAAACCTGATGTTGGCTGCGGCCCGCGGTGAGATTGAAATAGGCGTACATCCTTATTCCTCCATGCAGCCGGGAGCCGAGCGGACGGCGGGTTTTTTTCCACTCGCCCCGACAAACACCTGCGTCCTGGTGCCCTGGCAACATGAACCGCCTCCGGGTCGATTCATCCGGTATGCCGTCCGGATAAATGGAACTTTTCTGCTGGTTCTCCTCCTGGCCATGACCCTGGCGTGGCAGCTGGCCCGTGGCGAGGGTTTGCGAGGCATTCAGCTCTCCCTGGTAACCTTCTTCCTGCAACCGATATCGGACACAAACTTTCGCAGGCTGGCCGAGCCATACAAGTTCATCCATGTGGCGGCACTCCTGGGATCCTTTGTTTTGTGGACAATGCGAACGGCGAACTTATCCTCCGTTTTCACCTCGCAAGTGTGTTGTTTGTGAATATATTCCACCAATCAATGATATATATTTTTGGTCTCCAGTTCCCAGGGTATCAGATTGACAGCGTTAAGGACTTCCTGGCCACACCCCTGCGCCTGATGCTCACGGAATCGGAGGTGGAAATGTATTTCACCGCCGGTAACCTGCCTGTGGCTTTGAGGCAACGCCTCCAGGTGGTCAACAGGTCGACGCTGGTGGAGCACTTGGATCAATTGAATACCAGCTACGCCTACTGCACCACCACGGAGCACTGGAGTGTGGTGCAGATGCAGCAGGAGCGCCTGGAGAGTCCGCGCTTCCGGCTGGCATCAAGAATATGCACCGGCACCCACATCCTGCGCTATCCCATGCAATGGAATTCGCCCTTCCAGCGGAACTTTTTCAGATTCAGTTCCCTTGCCAAGCAGTCCGGCTTCTGGTCCTACTGGAGCGGCAAAGGTCAGAGAGATGCCATTCGAATGGGTCTGGTGGTCAAAATGATGGACGACCATATACCCATTCATGTCCTGAATCTAAAGGACTTTGAGTTGCTGCTCAAAATCTACATTTTGTCCCTGACCGGTTGCCTTCTGTGCTTGCTGGGGGAGATTGCTTGGTTACGTTACTGGAGGGCAAGAATGGGAGCTGGGAGTTGAGATTAATAACTGATTAATAAACAAAAACACCTTCCATTGTGTAGTGTTTAATATGCAGAGGTTTTCAGTATTCATGGGGAAAAGTTCCTGGCACATCCATACTTAAGTGCAACTCATTTAGCTTAACTTTTGTCTGGAGAACTTTGGGAGTGCAGGCCGTAAGAAAGAATTGGAGAGTCGTTGGCCAATTCCAAACATATCGACGACTGGGTAAATAGAAAATTCAATTTGAAACGATTGCTTACTAGATAACGAAAGTCCCGGCCCTGCTCAGCCCGGCCCGGCCTGCCCAGCCTGCCAGTCTTTCCGTGGGTTGTGCACTTTTGGGCCAGCCTTCAGCAGAACTTTCCACAGGCAATCCGCATGGCATACGTTTCTGGCTCTACATACCTCCGCCCATACCTTCTGCCCACTCAGCAAGTTGGCCACAAACAAACTTCCTGTATCGATGGTAGCACACACGTACCGTTATCGCCCAGCCCCCGGGCCAATATCTAAGTGAAAACACAGATCAACAGTACGACAATCAGCAGAGAAACAGGCACTGGCACCGGCACAGGCACAGGCACACATCCAAAGGCACTGGCACAGGCACACATCCGCCGTAAAGGACGTAGCATATCCGTATTCCTATTCCCACATCCACCTCCAATCTCCATCGCCAACCATCCCCATCCCCATCTCCATTCCCAGCCATATCCACTCTCTTTTCAATCCCAAACCTCGCACCTGCAAACGTAGGCAACATCAGACAAGGCAAAAGGCAAAGACAAGGCCGAAAACCCAAAGGCATTACACTCAGCGAAATGAAAAGGATACTACAGGATGTAGAATAGTATTTACCTCTTCCTTGTAAGAGGATTGGAAGTACCAGATATCATACAGCCGACCTCTTCATATATCCTTTTAATTTAATATTTTTATATTTTGTAAACCACCTTACTTTTTTTTGAATGTAACGACTATTTTTACCCTCCGTCCCTCGAAATGCCAGGCAGGTTACAAATTGTATGCTTCGGCTCCTCCAAATCCTATGCCCCTGCCACGCCCAGCACCTGCCAGCACTTTGATTGGTTGCAACGCCTCGCCCTTCCTGTTTTTGCACGTACACGTATTACGGCCAGTTGCATTTCTTGGATTGCATTTAAGCAACATTTATGCATTTTTAATGTGACAGCTGAAATGATGAGACGGCAGCCAACGATTCCCCATTCTCTATTCCCTTCTCCTCTCGAAGAAGACTTTGTGCTGACAACATGTGTGTGTGCTGCCACTCCCCCGTGACCCATGACCCAAGCCCGCCCCCTGCCCAACAATGCACTTTATGCATTTTGCAGTGTCAAGAAAGTTTCACTCTCGCTTCCAGAGGCCAAGACCGACAATTTCCGTAAATCATTAGATAATGTGCCGGGGATTTTCGTGGGCTCAGCACATCATGCATATATCCATGATATATGAGATGGATCATATCTATATAAAGGTTAGCAGAACCAATCTTAAATAGGGGAGTAATATTTAATGTGTGTTTTGGCAACTAACTAGTATGGTTTTTATTAAATTGAGAAAGCAATTGCTTTGAAATATGATTGGATTACCATGAACTGCCAGAGGACCCACCGACTAACCACCGAACCAATCGCCACCCACCACCACCTCCACCACGATCGACTGGCACCATTAATGGGCCACTTTGGGCCGCACACAAATGAGGAACCGACCACAATTGACTGCCAACTAGGCGCGTGCATAATCATTGCAATTTTGTATGATTTCCAGCCATGGCCCCGCTAACCTTCTGACCGCACCACCCAGAAACCCAACCACCCGCGGGTGGCACACCCGCAACACAATCGCCAGCGCCAGTGGCCCGCTTGAGTGGCAAATGCCACGCAGCGACCACAAAAAGCAACCGAACCACAGTTCGTATGGTGCTGTATCGACAGTGTCCTTTGGCAGGACTCAAATCCTTAGTCCTGTAAGTATGCAATGCTTTTTGCAATGGAAAAGGCAACAGCAAAGGCAATGGCAATGGCAAACAGCAGCTGCAGCTGCAACAGCGACAACGTTGCAAGTGCAACGTTGGTGTTTATTAGCATGATTAACCCCGCCACATTGCCGCACAAATTGCAAACGCATTGAATTTGGGTCAGTTGGGCGGGTAATGAGGTGGGCGTGGCAGGCACTAGCCGAGGCAGTGGGCAGTGCCAGAGCCATAGCCAGAGCCGGAGCCGGATAGAGGAAAATGTCGGGGCATCTTGTAATTTGATTTCGACGTCATCCCGGCAATCGGCGGCACTGTTTGTTGGTAGTTTACGAGATGGCCAGATGGCGGGTTATATGGCCAACTTGTTTCGCTGTTGGCCTGACATTTGCTGATTGCAGTGGCCAACAAAGGATATGCCAACAATTTGAGTGGTCCAAAGACCAGGGACCATGGTCCAGTGCTTAATTAGTTTTGGATGCACTCTCTTGGATGGAGCGAGTCACGCATTCGGGCCATAAACAAAAAGCCTACACAGACGGCCTAAAGTCTTGTCGCACTTGGCTTGTTTCGTTTCATTTCCGGTTAACCACATCCTGCGTAATAAGCGCCACTTCCGCTTCGCAGTGGACTCGACTTGTTTGGTTTTTGTTTTCGTTTTCGTGATCCTGGCATTGTTCTGCCTGTTACTGCTACTGCTTCTGTTTTTATTGTGAGCCAAATATTCGCTTTGGCCAAAAGACAGGAGTCGGACTACAGTCAGGATGCTGTCACTTCCGTTCCACCCACAAAAAGTCCTACAAAGAATCTTAGGCACTGAGAAAAAGGACTTTAAAAGAGGAGTTGGAAGGTTGAAAAGCCTTACGGCTATTTCTTGCAGTGTTCTCTTTGCAAGTCAATGGCAGTTTAGTGGCAGTCCCCGCCCGAATGCCAACCAAAATGTAGAAACCACAAACTGAAGCTGCATTTTTATTTGCATCTCTCTCTCTCGATGCCTGGCAGCCATTGTTGCTGTAATTGCCTGTGTAGGACATGCCACTTGGCCAACACCACCACCTCCAACCACACCCTCGGAGGAGGTAGAATTGGAACGCCTTACATTGCCTGCCTGCCTGGGCGGTTCACGTTTACGTTTAATGAATTCAACTCCATTTGCCATTTGCCATTCAGTACCAGCCAGTGCTGGCTGGGTCTCTAGTGCATAACAGTCTAATTGTTGACATAATTAACCCCCCAAACCGGAGGCACTCTGCCTTTTGTCAGCTTATTGGGCCAACCAGCCAGCCAACAATTCGCACACTGCCTCCGAATTTCGAGTGCAGCCAAAACACTTAAATAATACGCAATTGCAGTGTAATTGCGTTTGCAAGTTGGTGGCTGGCTCCGGCGTGCTCCACGACTTTCTAGGGCCGGATGCAGTGGAGGATGTGGGGGATTTGGAGGGCACTTGAGATGCACAGCATGTGTGGAAAACTGGCAGCCACCACCACCGCAGCGTATTATAATAGACCCTATGTTGGCCGAAACATATGTTGCACAATCATTTTATTTGCACGAATTAAGCAGCTCTCGAGGTGAATTGTTAACAGTGGTAACAAAACGAAGTGTTTTTGTAACTAACTTGTAGACTAATTAGTTCTATAAACTTAATAAAGATATATTAAAAGTTTAGGTATTTCAAAGAGTCATTCCACGAAAGGAAATAAACTTCAAATAGTTTGGAAAATAATATTTCCACCCACTGTATATATCCTGTTGGTTGGGGAAGTCTGCCTCGGCTGCTTTTGTGGCGGCAATGCGGTTGTGCATTTGTGCGTGGTGCCGCCAATGCTGCCATTCCAGGCTTGCCTCTTGCACCTGCCACTTCACCTGAATCCTGGTCCTGGTGTCCTTTGGCAACATTAGCATTCATGCGCCTGCATACCGACACACCAGCGGAGTTTGGGGAACAAAACCAAAAGGTCCTGGCCAAAAAAACCCCAAGGCCTGGGTGGCTGCAGCTGACGCTGATGACAACGTTGGGGTTAACTGGCATTAATGTCATGCAGTCATTCTGTCGTTTCGTTGGCAAAACCGCCAGGAAGTTGCCGGCGAAACCGCTCGGAAAATTGTTGAAAAGCAATAGTTCTGACTTTGAGACCTTGCGTGTGCATACGAGTATCCTGTCCGCCAAGGATATGCGATTGCTTCAACGCATTCCAGCTTAATTTTATTGTTTGACAAAGTATTTGAAAAAGTCGGTTTTTATTTTGAAAGTATGACTGGCATATTGTACTGCCGATCAGTAGCAAACGAAACTTCAATCTAGCAAATCATAAATTTGGCCTTTAGAGCTTGTTTTTCTTACCAAATTTTCATAGCCAACCGCAGAAAGCCAACAAGTCTTGTGGCCATGGAAGGTGAGTCTATAAATCAATTATATCACTTAATGGCCTCTGAAATGACACTTGATAGAGAGCCTATTGCTCACGATCTCTTTTGTTTGGAGCCCTTTGTTCTGACTTTCTAAGCAGTTAGTGGCTTAAATGTTTTCCGGAACGCAACACGCGTCACAAAACAATTTCCACCTGCCCCTGATATCGGCCGCCAATGACAAACCACTTTATGCCCCAGTTCCCTGTCACTCTCTCTCTCTGGAAAGCTATTAAAACCTAACAAAATTGGGCCAACTGGGTCAAAGTTCAGTGAGTCAGTCTGTCAGTCCCAACAATGGCAAGTGGAATAGAAAAATAGAAACATTGAAAATATATGAAGGGAGCTAAGCCGTCTAGACGTGTGCCAAATGAAATCAAACATCGTAAACTGATTCCGCGGCATATTGATTTTATATCATAAAAAAAATAAAAAAGGGAAACCATGGGGGATATACTGGAATTCCATTAAATCACTTCGTGCGTGTTGCGATGCGTGTGGTGCGATGGTTCGATGGCTCAGTGGTTCGGCGGTTCAGCGGCTGTCACGCTTCGACAGTCTGCCAATTTCTGGTTCTGGCTCTGGTTCTGGGTCGACTTTTAGTCCTTTCACGACTTTCATTCAAGATGCGTGCCCAAAAGCTGAATGCCCAGGAGCGCGAGAAACTGCGTCGTCAACGCTCCGAAACTCGCCTAATTGTGGCACGATGCAATGAGCTAGGTGCTCCCGGACACTCGAGGCTCTAATCCGTCACGTATTCTATTTACTTAACTGGTATTGTGTTGTTACAGGTTTCGACTATGTTGTCAATGCGCCGGAACCGCCCAAGGTGGGCTTCCTTCGGAAGATTCGCAGGGGGCCCGAGTCTGAGTTTGTCAGAGATAGCTTCAGATGCTGCACCTTTGAGCTGCCCTCCCCGGGTCCGGGTCAATACGATATCCCAAGTACTGTTGAATTCAAGGTAAGCCTACATATACTCATCCTCAGCCATTTATTCACATATCCTGGTAGTATCCTTCGAAAGCTGGCTTCTCTGCGTTTGCCAATAAAATGCCACGTCTACCCCCCTTCCGGGAACTGGGCTATCCACCGATAGGATCCTATGCCACCGATTTTAAAGGAACTCAGTATTACTTTTCCTTCAAAACAGAGGTTAAGCTGGAACCCAAATGGACGACTCCAGGGTAAGTTCTGATAGTTTTCTGTAATATTCCTAAAGACCTATCCGTTTCCTAGTCCCTCCACTTATACGCATCACCTCAAGTATCCCTCCTGGAACGTGGAGATGGCTTTCGGCTCGAAGAGGATCATCTGGCCGGCTGTGGCCGTGTTCTGCACCCCGTACAACAGCTCCAAATGCTCGGTTTGTGAGCTGACTCCGGTGGGTGACTATTTCCATAACTTTAGCACGGACTCGGACATGTGTCGTCCGTGCATGCACGCCGCCGTATCTGCCATCAAAAAGTGCAATCTCCAGGTGACGGAGCGATTCCTGAGACAGCAGAAAATCAAGCAGTTCGTCCCGGCCCGCTACTGTGGATTCTTCCACATCCATGACGGTACCAATGCCACCATTGAGCGGGACTCCCGGAAGGTCTTGCGCCAAAAGACTCGCGTTGAAAATTATCTGTATCGTGTGAATGCCAAGATGGAATACTAATGGAAAACCACCTTTATAAAGTTACTAATCTTAACAGGGATAGTGCTTAACGAAATATAAAGTTTGTGGAATATGCAGCTATCCCACCAAGTCCTAAAGTTCTAGTTGACTGTCTCGGGTGTGTGGTGTGTACGCTTTCCTGCTGCTACATTTTAATCGCATTTCCGGCATTCCGGTTTCCTTTCCTCCCCCAACCTGCTACCGAATCCTAGTGCTGCGTATGCTTGCTTCCGGATGGAAAGAAGCATTTTAGCCAGGAACCCACACACGGGAAGAGAAACTGAAATAGGAATAGAAACAGTGGCAGAAGCAGAGACAGCAACCGGCCTTGGACAATGCAACAATGGCTGTTGGCCATTGGCAGCCATTATGGCCATTATGGCACATGGCCGCCATGCCACTGTCAATTTCACAGTTTGCTTGTTTTGCATTTGGCCAAAAGCAAAAGCAGTCCACAACCTCATCCTAATCCTGTCCTGTCCTGGCCTGGCCTGGTCTGCCCGGGCAAAGCCATGCAGCATCTGACCGTTTTTGGTACACGCGTGGCATTTGGAATGCAAGTCAGGTGTGTGCCCCTTACCCTCTATCCCCTTATCATCCACTGCCTGCCACATGCCACCCAAAATAGAAATGGCAGCGTTGAAAGTTGCACAATTACCATGACACTTCTTGCAGCACGATTTCAGTTTGGGGATAGAACTTCTTAGCCAACTTCCTAATTTAAAATTGATTTTAATATTATAGGAAAGTTTAGGATATCCAATCAAGAAAACACCAAGTTTATTTTCAGTCAAACATTATTTATTGTTTGGAGAAAAGTTCACAAAGATGAGGTATCTATATTATCCTTTCAGAATCTGGAACGTAGATCGATTGCCAAACAAAAAAGAACAGCCACTGTGATATAAATGAGGCGAATAACTACATCAGCAGCAACCGTTCCCTTCTTTTTGAACAATTTTCAATTTTTGTCCACCAAGGTGATGCCACAGATGACAAATTGTTGAACTTGACGGTGCAACCAAAAAGAACAGCCACTGTGATATAGGAGATTGTTCAAAAGTATAATATATCAGCAGCAACAGTTCCCTGGGGCTAACACCGGAATAATAATATCTGTCGGATGGCGAAAAATCACAATTCTTGGGTCTTGGCTGTTTGGCACTTTAGGTGCAAAAAGAACAGCCACTGTGATATAGAATGGTAACATACAGCACAGCCACTATTCTCTCTACTTTAAAGGCGGGTATCCTGCGACTCCTTCAAGACACTAACTTGATTTCTGATGCATTTTGGACAAAGACATGCGTTATAAAGGAAAATCACTGTGATATGTAACGAGGGATAAACGCATATCACAACGATCGTTCCTTTTAGCGAATGGTCCTTAGAATATTTCACTTTTTTATTTAATTTTTTAATTTTTATAAATAAACGCTGCAATTGCCACAACGAACTTCAATGGTTGTCTAGCTTTATGATCAGAGAAGTCACCTAAGGCTGGACGACCAAAGAAACTAATTGCAGCCTTTCATAAACACTATTTTAAACACTTTAGCTTGTTGAACATTTTAAAATTATAGCACGAGTGTTCGGTCTAGTCACTTCGCTTGATGGAAACCCTTTTGTGAAAAAAGCGACCATACCGACAATCGCCATTCAATTCTAAAATTCTGATGCTAATAACCACTTACATTTGATGACTGGATTCTTTGTTGAGTTGGCCCAGATCATGAGACACACTTTGCCCAGTGATGGTTATGATTTTGGTGCATAACTGCACAAAATGCATCCCAAGATCGTGACCCGGAGCGGAGGATTCACAGATTTCTGGACGTTCTTTTTCGAGATTATAGGACAAACTTTACCCAGTGCTGCTAGGAAATTGGCAAAACCGAACAAGGTTTGTCGTATAATGGCTTTCACTTTGTAACTCGCGGCTCTTCACACTCTGAAGATGCTTGGCTGACTGATGATCCTACTGCCGGCGGCTGGATCTTTTATACCCAACTTTCGGGTCAAAGGATCTCTCCTACCTGTGGGTGGCGGGCGTTTTTACCTGGCCGGGGGTGGGCTCTTCCGCGAATTCGCGTCTCGGTTTCGCGGCGACCTTAGTGAAAATTTTGCAACTTAATCCGTGGCCATAAACGGATTAATGCCAGCCCGTTTTCGGGGGAAAAACGCGCAGCTGTGCCGCGCTTAGATTTCGCAGAATTGCAATTAGGTTAGTCCCGAGAAAGGACCAAGGATCGGATCGGCCGTCAGGGATCGCCGTCCACTTAATTTGGTAGTTAGCGCGAATTCCGTTATCCTTGGTAGAACTAGGTATCGTCCTGGAAGTTGTGTCTACCTTTTATGGTGACTGTACCAAAGCCAATGGCTACTGAAAGGCTACCACCTGTTGAAGAGGCAGTAAACCAAGTATTTTTTGGTCCTTTTGTTTTTTTAATTTTTGATGTAAAACCTCAGTAGTCTGTATTTAATATTTCTCTTAAATCCTTCGAACGTTAATCTTAATACACTATAGAATCTGAATTCCTGTATAAAAGTATTATAGTCGTATATTATTAAGTTTCCAATCCAAGGACCCTACTTTTACCAATGAAGGAAGCATGAAACCCATTGAATTCCTTCAAGTTGTCCTTTTGGCAGCAGTATTTGTGAGATTCAATTACCATAATCCAATTAAAGATATATGTTTTGATATATTTTGTATATTCTGAAGGTGCACAAGCTCGTAGCCCTGCCCATATCTGGATCAGATGAGGAGCCACCCAAGAATAATGCCACCGAAGAAGAGAAGGGAGGCAGATCTGCCCGATGGATATTTAAGACGTTTTCGGAGTCAAAAACAAAACTTCCAGAGACAACGGTGGCTGCTTTGGTGTCGGCATCTCTGCCATCACCGACCATGGAGCCACCCGCCGGGTTCCAAGTTTTTGGGCCAAAGCTTCGCCATCGGGGAAGGCACACCAAGAAACCAACTACGGGCACCACCAAGAAAAATATAATGCTTTATGCTGAACCACAAGATAGTCCTGAAGGTGAGGCCGGCAGCCCGTCCAGCGGCTCCAATAGCGACAGCAGTCCCGAAGCAGGCGGTGGTGGAGAAGCGGGTGGAGGAGCGGGTGGTGAGCCTGGTGGAGGCGCGGGTGGTGGTGCGGGTGGTGGTGAGAGTCCAAGTGGCGATGGATCAGGTGGATCCCAACCGGGCAAGGAGTTGACACTCAAAGTGCCACAGTTCGATACCGACGCGTACGGCGGCCGTGTGTTCAATCCCTGGGCTGTAACTTTTGGCAATATTAATCTGGACACGCGATTCAATGAGGCCCAATTCGATATTCCTAGATTTTCGATGGAAATGAATCCGGTGACCAACTACTATCCAAAGGGCGATAATTTGACCACCGCCTGTTTCAACAGATCGACCATCTACAATGAGGTCAAGGTCGAGAAGTGGCTGGTGCGCCACATCTACAGCAAGCGGAAGAAGGAGCGTGCCTTCTTCATGGCCTTCCGGCGGGAAATCTACGACATGGCCAACTCGGAGGAGTGCCACACCCCGGATCTGGACGACTGGTTGACCTACCAGCAGTGCGCACTGCGCCGCAATCAGCGCATGGAGTACTACATTCCAGAGTATCCGCGCCAGCAGCTCGCCCTAAACTAGTTCTCGTAGCATTCATCTTTCAAAAGCAACAATAAATTTTATGTGTAATATTATTATATCGTGGACCAAGGTATTTATATACCATATACAAAATTTTTACATATTTAATATATTTTAATGTTGGTCATAATATATGGAGGTTTTTATTAGAGTATTCCGTTTGAGGATCGGATGGAAATTGGCCAAGATATGGACTTGGTTTGGGGAAAGAGTGGAAATCCTGGATTTTACAAGGGGTTCCATCTGAAAAATTTGAAAAATAGGGTTCGAAAATTTTGTATTAAGGGTTTGATGCAGATTGAAGGAGAATCGAACTACAAATCATTAAAGGTATTCCGCTTAAGGATCGGATGCAAATTGGCCAAGATATGGACTTGGTTTGGGCCAAAAGTGGAAATCCTGGATTTTACAAGGGGATCCATCAGAAAAATTTGAAAAATGGGGATCGAAAATTTTGTATCAAGGTTTTGATGCAGATTGAAGGAGAATCGAACTACAAATCATTTAAGGTATTCCGCTTGAGGATCGGATGGAAATTGGCCAAGATATGGACTTGGTTTGGGGCAAAAGTGGAAATCCTGGATTTTACAAGGGGGTCCATCAGAAAAATTTGAAAAATGGGGATCGAAAATTTTGTTTCGAGGTTTTGATACAGATTGAATGAGAATCGAAATACAAATCATTAAAGGTATTCCGCTTGAGGATCGGATGGAAATTGGCCAAGATATGGACTTGGTTTGGGGCAAAAGTGGAAATCCTGGATTTTACAAGGGGGTCCATCAGAAAAATTTGAAAAATGGGGATCGAAAATTTTGTTTCAAGGTTTTGATGCAGATTGAAGGAGAATCGAACTACAAATCATTTAAGGTATTCCGCTTGAGGATCGGATGGAAATTGGCCAAGATATGGACTTGGTTTGGGGCAAAAGTGGAAATCCTGGATTTTACAAGGAAGGATTTTTTCCCAAATTCCAAAAGACACTTTAAGATATATCTGGTGGATAAAGAGTATACTTTGACTTAAACCCCTCATCAGCCCAATGATTAAAAACAATACATTCATTTGTTAGCTTTCGCTTTTGTTTTTTCGGTTTTATTTGGTAAAATTAAATCAATATTTTCATTTCATTTATATGTTTTTTGTTATTACCTTTTTTCAGATATCATTTCTTAGAAAAACGAACAAAATTGTTTCAAATTTTCAGCGTTGTACTAGAACTAGAAGGAGAAGAAAACAAATGTTGAAAACAAGATAAAATAAAATGATAAGAAAGAATTCTAAGTTCGTAAGTAATATTTGCTGCAGGTGAACTCAAGGATGTTTGATGTGCTCCTCCTGGGGTCTCACCCATTCATCCTCATCCTTCTCCTCATCTTCAACTTCTATGAACTCCTCAAACCAGCTCTGGGGAAGTAAAAAAGATGTACAACAAAATATTATTAAGATAAATTTTGAGAGAAATGCTTTCTCTGCCGCTGGCTGAACGGTGGCTCATGTGTTGTTTCTCCTTTTTTTTTTTGTTTGAATGAAGATTCTTAATGTTTTTGTATTTTTTCGTTAGACAATTGTAAAGAATGATTAAAATAACTTCTTTTTTTTTAAAGAGCTGTATGTTAGAAACCTGTAGGCAAATAAAAGCAAGCTATTAGGGTATTTAGTTGCAAATAATTATCATTAAACACTCACCGCTTTTTATAAAATATTGTGGGCTTCTAATTTCTGGGCATCGATGCCGTGAAAATCAATGAGAAGAGAATAACTATGATAACTAATCCTTAAATGGTATGTGCTATAGCTTTTTACACTGCAAAGATATATAAATGGTTAATAGTAGATAATAGTATTTTATTTGTGGATTAAAAGTACAATAAATGAGAGGCCAAAAGGTATGTTTTTGTTTAAAAATATTTATTCAAAACCATCCAGTAATGAATCTATTAATAGCTCATCCAAAACCACACCCAAATAAGATTTTTTATTTTATTTTAAGTATTTATTTTTTAAGAACCAATTCCAATCTGAAATACTTTTATTTTTCCGCCAAAAAAGACACAAAAGTATCTCAAAGATCAACTAAAAAGTATCTATAACTAATGACAAAAAATATATACATTTTCTGTAAAAAATTTTGAAAATAAAAATACCAAAAGTTTTGATTTTTTTTCTTTTTTTCAAAAAGTTTATTGTTTTTTTTTTATATTCATTTATTGAGCTTAGTCTCGGGCTTTGTAAATTGGATTTTAAAACTTTAAAAACTAAAAATAAATGGGTTTCTTTTTTTTTTTTAGATCATATTCCCCGGGGAAGTGGGGGAAATACTGATTATAGAATACGTAAGATTAAGTAGAATATGACAACTTAAGAATACAAAAAACAGTCTCGTGTCAAAAAGGAAGTTGATGTAAGAGAGAGAATGAGAGAATACGAGAACGAATGGAAACATGTAAGCAACTTACAAGAAATTGTCGGTGCCGATGATGCGGCTGTAGCAGCTACAGGGACCGATGTGGGTTTGGGTGTGGGTGTTGTTGCTGATGTGGCTGCTCCTCGGGCCGCTATTGGTTGCTGTTGGTTGGGTGTCAAATGTTGTGGTTGGTTGTCATCATCATCATCATCAATGTAATAGATTTTGTTAAAATTATTGGCGCCGCCGCCACCGCCACTGCCACCACCGCCGCCGATACTGCTGCTAACCACACCGTTGCTATTGTGGTGGTTGCCATAAACAACATTACTGCTGGTGGTGCTGATCGCTGCTGATGTTGGGGTTGTCGTCGTATGCTGCTGCTGCTTGCGCTTGTGTCCGGTTATGCTTAGAGCCGCCGTTAAACTGGAAGCCGCATGCAGGATCGAGCGCTGGTTGAAAATGCTATTGGAGGCGGCCGCCGCAGCCGCGTTGTTGTTCTTTCGGAACTTCTGGTTCTGATGATGATGATGGTGGGGCGATGGCGATGGCTGGGGCTGGGGCGGCGGTTGCTGTTGCGCCGGCGGCGGATGTAAGGTTGGCGGTTGTCACGAGCAGGCCACCTCCGTTGTGGCTGGGTTGCTGTTGTTGGTGCCGTTGTTGTGCGACGGCGTCTCCGGCTCCGAGGTGTCCATTTCGGAACCGTTCTTTCCCGAGCTCTTAAAGTTGGGGGCATTCATTTGCGCCGCTGTTGGCGTGGTGGGCGTCCCGGCTCCCAGATCACTCGAGGCATTCGAATTCTCCTCCGTTAGCTAAACATTCAAAGATTTCTTTAAAAAGAGATGCTTGTTTTTGGAAGAAAAGCCATTTACCGATTCGCTGAGCCTGTGTATCTTAGCACCGCTGTCCCGGCCGCGATTGCCGCTCGGCTGCTGACCTGTTGCCAGGGTATCCTGGGACTGGGCCAGCTCCGTGGATAGCCGCTTGCGGTTGGCCAATAGCGTGTTGTTGAAGTTGTTGTGGTTCTCCATGGACTTGCGTTCGCGCTTCAGGAAGTCGGCGTCCAGGTAGAGCGACAGCTGCTTGCGCTTCACGTGCCGGGCATCGATGGTCATACCCTCCTTGAGCATCTTGATGTTGACCTGAAAGGGAATAGAAGGGATTACCATCTAGTAACCAAGCTTGACCTGTTAGCCCACTTACCCCATGCATCATCACATGCTCCGTAAAGTTTTGTATGCTCTCCGTGAGATCGACGTTAAGGTTCTCCGAACGCTCGAACTCCAGGCCGATGAACCACATGGAACAGAAGGGCGCTGACGTCACCGAGGACTGGCTGCCCTGCGACTGTTTCAGGTCGTCCTCGTTGCCACTGTTATTCTGCGAATTGTTGGCACTCTGACCCTTCTTGAACTCAAAGCATTTGGGATTCACGTGCGCCAGGGCAATGTGAGGATTGCGCTCCAGATTACCAATCAGTAGACGCACCTTTGACTCGACCAGTCCGCACCACTCTAGGTGGTCGTCCGCCGTCTGCGAGTTAACCAATAAAACGATAAAGTGGCGATATCTGTAAAAGAAGCTGGGGGCCTCGAAGAGACGATCCCACGGAATTCGTCCGAGCATAATCTCGTCCGTAATGTTCATGCCGCGATTGAACTCGGTCAATATGACCTTCTTGGTGGATTCCGACACGTTGAATGTGGAATTTTGTTGCGGGTAAGCTGGTGTGATGATGGGCATCAGATGATAGCGATCCGAGGCGTTGACACGTGGATCCCAGACCTGCAGAAAGGCAGACAGTGGAGATTAGTGGAATGGTTAACCCTTATGGTATATAAACACAAACTTACTTGAAATCTTAGATTAACATTGTCGGGATGCTTTAGCAGCACTGGATTGGGCCACTTCCAGCGCGAAAACACCAAAAAGAACTTATGCACCAGGGTGGCGGCAGCTGCGTTTGGGTACAACTGGCAGGTCCTGGCCACCAGCATAGCCCAGGTAACACCACCAAAGTATCCCAAGGAATTTGAGTAGATGCCATGCTCTAAAAGTAGAAAATCAAGGATTAGTAATTGGAAAAGATGTAGGTCCAGTGTCTAGAAACGTACTCTTGGCCCACAATTTAATGGTGCGCAAGGCCAGGCGGAAATTCTCAATGTTCGGCACCAGAGCCAGGATCTCGTCTGTGACACGGCAACCATTGAGGCTGCGCACGGAACGGTGGTCGAGATTTCTCAGCAGATTATCGTCGCGCAGATCGAAATCATCGGGTATCTCTTTGAGGGATAGCCGGGCGAACAGCAAATCGATCTCGATGCCATCAAAGTTCATCTTGATGACCGGTACAAAGGCCTCTTCGACGGATCGACACTCGGTGACTTCCGGCTGTTTTTTTAAAACCTCAAAGAAGCTCTGAAAGTAGTCGGTGCGCTCGATGTTGCGCGGTGCCACGCATAGAGCATCAATATCGGCGCCCTTATGATGGACACCCAATCGGTACGAGCCGAATGTATAGATCTTACCACCGAGCTTCTCGGCGGCCGATTCTGGCATATTCTTGCTGACAGAGATCTCCTTAACCCACTGTTTCACGAGGGTGTTGAGCTTGGCCAGGATCTCCATGCGGTGGTTAAGCTCGTCCTGGCTCTCGAACACATTGTATGGTTCCAGGGAGCCGCGCAGCTCCTCCGTTCGCTGCAGATCCTCGGCCCGGGGCTCGGCTAGACTGATGGCCGAGGTCATGCCCAGCTGTTTGGTGGCGGGCGGACCGCCGGAGGTAGAGTTTCCATTGTGCTGGTGCTGATTTTGCTGCTGGCGGTGAGTTGGTTCGGAATTCCACATGGTGTCTGCTGTCTGTAGACCTTAAAGTTAGATACTGCGGAAAGAATAGTTATTAGTAATTGACTTATTGGCAGATGGGGACTGTCAATACTCACCTAACTAGGCTTAAAACGTAGGTAGGTATTACAATTAAGTTGCTCTCCGAGAAGCCGAAAATGGAATTGCGTTGGGCGTCGGGCGCTCTGATAGCTTCTGTTACTCGGCTGCGCTTAATAAAATGCTGCAAACAGAAAACAGTGACAACAGTTAATGGATGAAATGCAATTTGTAATGTGCGATAAGATATATTCTTCTTTACCCAGCACAGAAAAAAAAAAAGAAAAACATAGAGATGTGGGTCGCGAATGGTCACACTGGTCACTGGGCATATAAACAAATGCGTAAAACAATTAATGACTAGCGGGTGGCGGTGGCGGTGTAGGAGGAGGAGGTGGAGGTGAGATCTTCCTCGGTGTGTGCAAAATTGCAGACTGATTGTGAAAATGACAAACATAAACAAAGAGAGCTAATTCAAACAAAAGTCTGATGATATGAGTTCGCAGGTAAACGCTTACGCTCACGCACACGAACACGCACACGCTCCCGCTCACGCACACCCACACCAATGACAGCGACGCACGCACCGCATACATACACACACACACACACACACATAACGGTTGGGAAACTTTTAACGCTTGTTTTTGCTTACCTGCGCTGCCTCTGTCTGTCTGTCTGTCTTCTCTTCTTAATTATTTGCTTCTCCAGGTGCTACTCTTCTTAATGTTGGTAATTCAAAAGCTGGCCCGTTGCTTTGCCTGCGAGTGGCATGTGTTTGTATGTATGTGTATGTGTATCCGTCCGCTGCACTCGCCGAGCATACATACATATGAGCGAGCGTGAGCATGTATGTAGGTATGTGTGTTTTGTTAGAATTTGGCAGCCTAGAATGGCCCATTCATTTGTAATTACTGCTCCGGCTCTTGCTTTTCCGCTACTTTCATCTAATTTGCGTCGCTTCTTTCACATTTCACGTCAACGTCTTAGCCCACCACTCTCCCTCGCGACCAATTACAGCGGTTCTCGCGTTTTATGCTGCTACGTGACGTGCTGCTGCTGCTGCTCTGCTCTGCTGACAAAACTGACGCACACTAATATGCTGCTACAACGGCCACAACGGAAACGGAATCTAAATTACATATCTCTACAGCGCCACAGGTGCCTTGGGCAAGGACTTAATCTGATTGATCGCAATCGCCAGGTTTAGATAATAATTGAGGCAATCAATGCCTTGTTTTTGGCAAACGCGTAAAACGAAAACAAATTGCGATTTCGACGCCGGCGAGTGTTGCTAAATTACAGAAAGAAACTTTTTTTCAGGAGATGGCAAATGGCTAGGGATGAAACGTGGTACTCACGACTATCGAAGGGAAAAGAGACATTTCTGACCGGGCCGGGCTTTATCTTAATTTTTCATAGGATTAATAATCTCAATAAAGGGGTTTTATTTAGATTTATAATAATAATATAATACAAATAAAAGCTCTATCGTTGTTTTTAGGTACTTTCCAACACCAAAATGCCTTCTTGTACGTAGTTGCCAGACTGCTGCTGTTCAATGTGACCAACTATGTGACCGTCTAGAAATACCGCCATTTCTGGAGCCAGAGATTTTTGGGGACCCCCACCATCTAACAACTGGGGTTCTGTTTACTTGTGGGAAAATGCAGCAAAACCAACCAAAAACGCCGCAAAATGTAACGCACCCGGCCCGCACCTAGCTGCAGACCCAACATGATACCCTGGATGCGCCAGAAGTTCAACGAGAAGCGGTCAAAGTGGCTGGCACGCAGTAAACGGAGCGGCACTGGGTCTCCGGCCGAGGGCAGTCCCAGGAGCAGCACCCTGAGCCACAGCCACCGGACCACAGACGCCAGTGACGCGGAGAGCCTTAGCGGATCCTCGCTGAATGTCCACACCGCCGAGTCGGAGACGCAGACCGATCTTGCCAGCAACCACCATTCCAGAGCTTTGGTGGGCGGCGGGGGCTGTGTACTGCGGACGCCATCGCCCGCCCGCCGGCGTAGAATACAGCTGGAGCTGCAGCTGAGGCGTCAGGAGGAACAGCAGCAGGCGATTCAGGACCCCGACTCACCCACACCCACTCAGCATCAGCAGGCCCATGCGTAAGTTGACAGGCGATCGAATATTTTTGAGTTCTTTCATGTGCTCGAACGAAAATACCTCTCTTTTTTCGAAATTCTCCGTTGGATCCGCACCCTTAACACCTGACTCCAAAACAAACTATGCAAAAACTGCGCAGTTTGTTCCTCAGGTAAGTGGCAAGCATTAGTCCGTCTGGAAATGAGATTATAGAGAAAAATCCTTGACAGGAAATCGGGCCATTCCCACCGCAACACCACATCAACGCCGGGCGAAGCCGACGAGACCGGCAAGCCGGGTGAATCCATCATGGTGCGGGTGATCTGCCCGAGCTCGCGAGTATTAATCTTCAAGACGGATGTCAACAAGCGCCTCAACGAGCTAAAGAGCGAGGTTATCCTGGAGCTGAGCGACGATCCAGACTCTATACAGCTGTTTGCGCCCGATGTAAGACACCTCAATCCCCGGTATCGTCTATACCGGGCGGAATACTCTGGCGGCGAGCTGAACGAATCGGACACGCTGGCCACCCTCAAGATCCGCAACAATGAGACTTTCATCCTGTCGCCGAGGCGCAACACACTACCACAAACGGTTTCGCGCATTCGCGAGGTTCCTGGGCCCAATGAGCAGCTTGTGGAGAGCGCCACTCGCTATGTTCCCGTCAGCACTAACCCCCTACCCACCATTGACATCAACGAGATATTTCAGCAGTCGAATGTAAGCCTTTGTTTACTCTTCTCCACGATTGTTTACATTTGGCTCTATTTTTAGATTCAGTACGATGTCCGCAAGGTGCTCATTTCTTTAGCTCAGGCCTCGGCGGCTGTTATTGGAGCCGGTCCGTTTGCTCCCCGCCTGATAGCTATGCTGAAGCAGCGGCTGATCAATCGGCGTAACCAGCAGGCGGACACGCTGCAGTGCCTTGTAGATATGGGCTTCAAACGCGAGCTGGCCGCATTTGCCTTAAAGGCCAACAATGGCATCTATTCCACCACCATGGAATGGCTGATACAGAACCAGAACGAAGAAAACCCACAGGAGGTGCCGGCCATGAGCACGCAACACAGTCTATCTTCCATCTCGCCATCCACGATCATCACAAACAATGTAACAAATAATTCAATTTCTGTATTTCGCTTGATTTCATGTTCTATTCCTTTAAAGGAGGTCATTGAGAACACGGCCGCCTTGATGGAAATTGTGCGCATCTATAGCCATCGCGATTCCCCGCCCGGCGACGATATTGTGGAGTCGCTTACTGAAATGGGATTCGAGGAGGCGGCAGTGCTGGCGGCGCTGAAGAAAACGGGCAACAACAAGGCCTCCGCCTGCGAGTGGTTGTGCGACAATCGCTCGGGTAGTGTGATCGAGCTGCGCGAAGGTCTAGCGCCAGACTCACCAATCCTAAAAGCCATTCTGGAAATGCCCCAGGTCCAGATGACGCTCAGCAATCCCAAGACTTTTTTGGGTATGCCAAGGCCTCTTTCTTGAAGTAGTGAGAACTATATTCTTTTTTACTTTCAGCATTTCTGGGCATTTTGGAGAACGAGCATGCAATACGCGTATGGCGTGGCGATAACGACACCACCTCGGTCATCACACATATCCTGCAAAAGTACCATGAGGAGAAGCATGTGCTGGGCATCAATCAGTTCTACACGAACCGCTGGTGAACGGTGCCGCTAAGTGGCTTTATTATGAGATTAACCAAATTATATTTATACATATATACATATAGACATGCGCGATCATACGCTTGGTCCATTTTGGGGCCGCCCATTACATACCCCCGTATGTGTGTGTTGTGTGTCTGCGAGTCCTTGTGCCCATATGTAAAGAGTATTTTTGTAGCAAAAAAAAAAAAAAAAAAGAAGGAAAATATGATTGTAAAACCGCACAAAGCCAAAGATGCAATCGCTTCGCCCAGAGCACGCGACTGCACCTTACAAACGCTTACCGATCAGTACGAAATGCATTATATATACACATAAATATATATATATAATTATATAGATACATAAATAGGAGCTATAGTTCTAGTCAGATCCCTAGGCTAAACAATTAATTTATTCAATTAGCTATATTCTCTACTCAATCGAATCTCGCACTACGATTAGATAATTTCTCATTCTGCATCCCACAGATACATATATAAAAATTCATTCAGTTGTTAGCGAGCGAACCTGTGGTGATCTAAAAATCGTTGTAATGCCAGGTTATGGCCAGCAAGAGCCGCCTGAAGAGCCGTCAATACTGAACTTGAAGTATTATTTTGTAAACCGAGTATTCTAATTGCATAGTTTTAAACAAGGGAAATAAAACAATTAGTTTTTGATAAATCAAGGGTGCTTATACTGATTTGGTCTATACTATAGATTAGACTAGGGGGAAGTCTACACTGCGTATGAGTAATATTTGCAGAAGCCTTTTAGCTCTATGAGTCAGAAACCACGGGTGGCTAAGATAAGTCGCCTGCCATTCATTCGCAGTGCCGTGGAGGAGCATATGTACTCATTACTCTTGGCCCGTAATTTGTACAAATTGAATGGCTTTGTTGTCTCTGCAATGCTCCCACCCCCAGGCATGGAAATTATTTTGTATTGCACTTTTAATGCATTACAATTAATTTTCCATGCGGCCGCACATTTTTCATTTCATTATTTCAGCTGGAAAATGGTTGGGTAAACAAAAACATTGCAACAAATCTATTTTATTCAATTGTTGCACATTCCCACTTTTCTATCTTTTTTCTAACATACTAGTACTACTCTCGTACGTTTTAATTTATGTTAAGCGCGTTTATTAAGTGGTTGTTGTAGCGGTTATGTATCCATGAGATACTTTTGCTGGATGGTGGCTTTTAATTAATATTTGCGCGTAATGTTTGAATTTTTAGGGAAATACTAGAAAACAAGCCGAGAGAAAATTATTTATGGTCAGCTCGAGGTCTCGTTTTAATAAATGTTTGCGGTTGCATGTTGCAACAAGGATATGGATATTCAAACAAAGTATCTACAAGCTACAAGCTACAAGCTTTGCCTAATGGCCCCTGGCGATGGCCATGCAAATCTATCTCTAAAAAAATTGATGACGCATGCAGCGGCGAGGACGGAATGGGGGATAATAAATCATCTGGACCCTTCCTTGGTAAGAGCTCCAGGCGCTCCACTCCCGAAAGTGGCCAAGGCAAATGAGTTTTTGATAATATCAAGAGACGAAATGCATTGACAAGGACGACGGCAACTAATCCTCCCCCTCCGGCAGCTGGAGAATCTTCCAAGGGGGGGTTGGGATGACTGTTCACCCCAAACCCTTAATAATCTCGAGTATCGTGTGGCTTTGGCAATTTCCGTTGCATATTTGCAGGCGCCACAAATTTATGAACAGGATGGTTGGCGAATATCCACCATCCTGGTCCTCATCCTCCCCCACAGAAACCAAATCGAAACAATGCCGGAATAGGATTTCGCAACGACATCGGGAATAGGAAAAGCTGCTGCTGCTACAAAATTCCCCAATTTGTATGAAAATGAAAATGTTTTGTCATTTCGCATTCAATGATTTAAAATTCCTGTCGCATGCGATTTTGGCGAGCTTTCCCATGTTTATATTTGCCATTAAAGGCAGTCTCGAATGGTGCTCCTAAAAAAATGCATATAATATGCATTAATAGCTTCCCATTCTCATCACCATCATCATCTCATCGCCGAAATCGAATGTTTTATAATAAAATATTAAAATTTGGGAAATCCATAAGACGTGAGCCATTCTCTGGTTGCCTGTGGGGGAAGATGGCTATCCAAGGGGAGATAAATAGATGGGTTTTCTATAAGGTTAGCTTTATTTACTTTATATTTTACTTAACTTGATAAATAAAACCCCCAAATCTTAACCTTTTTAATTAAACACACCCATTAAATCTCATCCCAATCTGATAATAGTTGTTGATAGAAAGACCCTTCTTATAAGGTCCTATATTTGGTATTCAAGCAACATCGTTGATCCATATCGTAACAAAACGAGGGTTATCTCCCCAAAACCTCAGCCCAATTAACCATTTAAAAGCAAATCGAACTCCCTCATTAGCAAACATTGCCCAATTCCTACCCTCGTCGCAAATATTTCATTTATATGCCATAAATACTTGTATGAAACTTTCAACGCGACATGAAAATTAAACGAAATGGGTGGCTTGGAGACCCCCCCAAAACTTTCATATGGTAGATAGTATACCCCCTTCCTTCTACGTCTATGGTATCGTTTGTCTTTACGGTTGGCAAATAAAAATCCTGCTTTAACGCATGAAATCACACAAAGATACTAAAAATTTGAACATGCAACTTTATGTTGGCCCAAACGGCATGGAGTCTGCTGCTGCGGCAAGGATAAAGTGTCCTTTACATGCCCCACTAGCCTGAGTGAGTGGGTGCCATTCGTTGGGGGGTGGGGGTCCAGACACTCACACACACACATGCATACCAAACAGCCAAACAACACAGTAAACAAAGCGCCACAGTTTATGACGCAGTAGGCCAACGTCCCCCGGTCTCATAAATATAAAAATTAGTTGCCGGTCAGTTAGCAAGTGGGCGGGCGGTTGGTCAAATGGGCGGGGCGGAGCCGGACTCGTGCCCGGGCCCTTTCGTTCCGCTTTCGGTCTCAACAGTAGGAAGGCCATGCCGGCCGCCCACAATTAATTAATTAGTTCAGTTGACAAAAATTGCGGTGTTTGCCGGTGGCGTGGGGCCAAGGGGGGAGGAACGGCTTCGGGTCAGTGCCGGGGTTACGGGGTGGCGGGGCAGGATGGTCAGGGTCCTGCGGCTGGCCCGGCATGTGTCTGTGATTGGACTGGCTTACCCAGGAGCTATGAGTGTGTGGGTGGTTGGGAGATGGCTCTGCAGGAACTCTAATTACGTTTATGCGGAAGTAGATTTCAGGATGAATGCTATTTAGATTAAGATGTGTGGCTTATATTTCTATATTTTAGAAAGTAAGAAACTCTAACCTGATCCTGATCTCTAACCCCATAAACATTTTCCTTATAAACTGCACGTGTGTTGTGTCCACATGTGTGACTCCACTCGTCCTTTGTGGGCTATGTGTGGGTGGGTGTCATTTCTGTTTCAAGGGTCATAGGGCTGACGGCGGTCAACTGTTTTCATAAGCGTAGCAAATATTTTCACAAGGCCAATTAGTGGGCAGCCCCAGCTTGACCGCAGCTGCTGAGAGTTCTCCACCAAGCAGTGGTCCTTGGAGGTTCGTCTAGGACTAGGACATCCCCTCAATATGCTCCTACATCCTTGCCCTCTCTCCACATCCTTCCGCCTTTGCAGTTCTAAAATTAATAAAAAGCACCAAAAGTTTCTTGTTCATGTCTCCTATTTTTTATTTTATTTTTTTTCTTAGGTTTTTCCTGGTGGCTGTCTCCTTCTCGGCCAGCTGATCACTTTCGGGTTTTTTTGTCAACGGCTTTTCCGTGTGACGCAACATACTTGCGAACAAAAGTGAAAAAGGCAAAAGCAATAAACTTTTCAATTGTTTCTTTCGCACTCTATGCAAGAGTTTTCCCCCCCCATTTCTACCACCATTTCTGCTGGTTTTTCCTTTTTTTTCTAACAGAAAGTTTTTTAACTGGTGCTGACTTTAAGTGCAATTCAGTGCCGAGGCCGAAACTAAAAAATGTGAAAAACTTTTCCCCACTTGCCGCTGACTTTTTCCACTTTCCACGTTCACTTCCATAGTGTTCTATTCTGTTTTGTGGCTGCCACATTCGTTTTGTTTTCTCGCCATTTTAAAAACGCATTGCCAAATGTGTCACCCAAAAGTTATTGTTCTGCTTACTGTAGTTGCTGTTGCACTTTTCCAGCTTTTCCTCGCTGGCCCCATGGTTTTTCTTTCATCTTTTGGATGTGCTGTTATTTCAAAAAAGTGCACCAAGAAAAACTAGGATTTATTTTTAAGATTTTTATTTAAAAAAATAATTAAAAATATATATATTTGCTAGAATATTAGACCTATTTTTGAGCTCAAAATATTTTAATATTTTTTTTTGGAAAACCCTTTTTTTTGTGAAATAGGTTGCACTTTTTGACATTTCAGGAGTCGAACCGCACTTAGCAGGTCAGTGCATAGTTCTTCCCTCCCCTTACCCGTACCCCTCCCCCTCTCTCTCTCTTATTTGCACCTTTTATTGTTTATGGCTTTCTGGCCAGGTGATGCAGCACAAAGGAGTCAGCAACAAAAACCAACAAACAGTCGTAAGTGCAACTGGGTTGAGTGTCATAATGCGTGGCTAAATGCAGACATTCTGTGGGCTTACCTTTTCGCAAAATATACATTTTTAGATGAAATGCTGTCGAGGTGACTAAAATAAACCATAAAAAGGTGACCTTCTCCTTTCCTTTTTTGAGGCAAAACTATACAATAATGGCTCTTGAAATCTTACAGAAATTAATTAAACACCATAGAGTAAAACATGTGATAATTGCTGTCCAAACCATAGAGGTCCTGTCCATCAATTGCCGATTGATTTCAAATAAGAGCTCAAGTCGTTTTCGTTAATACCTCGTTATAGCCGCATATCAAGCTGATTCTAAAGCCGATCTGACGGTAACAAGCTGCGCTCGAATATATTTTAGACATCGATGCCAAGTCTCTTGACGGATTAATTTTTAATGAGCCAGTTAGGCAGAAATTAATGAGCCAGAGCGCAACAAACCGCCCACTGGGCACGCCCATTTACCCGGAAGCATCCTCACGTGTTGGTCCAATAAATCATCATGGCCAGAAAGCCAAATACACAATAACAACAAGAAACCAAATACAATAGAATTGCAATTTTCCATCCAGAGTCCAGAGTCTTGGGGTGTCTGTCCAGGACTCCCTTGCCCGGCCTTTCTCGTCCTAAATCCTGACAAATGAGAGAAATTTCATAGCTCAGAGGTTATTAACGTGTATTAGCAAAGAAATGAAGGCGAATGCATTAAGTCAACTAACTGTGGTAAATAGAGGGGAATCAACTGGAACGCCTTGTCCTTGGAGGACACGTTGCACGGGACAGGCAAGGACCACGGGGCAGCATCAAATTTGCTGCTTCATTTATAAGGATTACGGGGCCCGAAAACAGTAAAAACTCATAACAAAATTACTTGCAAGAAAATGCAACAAACTCGAACTATAAGTATAAGGATCTGCCACGACACGCCACCAGGAAGTCTCGGAAAATTCGCATTTCGAGGGGAGGATAGCTCTGGGTGGGTGGGTGACTCGCTTTGGTCAGCCAACCACTGTGGATTGTCCCCGTTTTCCAGGGCACTACACGAAATATGCATTAGTTTCTGGGTTTTGTACTCTATGATTACAACTTTTTGTGTTGCACATTCGAGGGTTGACTCTAAGAGGCTTTCGGAAAGTCGGGCAAATCTGTATTAAAACGGTGCCGGGGATGATTTATTATTATTATTGAAAATATCCATTACAGCGAATGGAGTTTGAATATTAGTTAGAATTTAAATAAACGTTTACTGTCTTTAACTCGAAACCCAAAAAAGAAACAACCCTTCTTACATGTCCGCTTCTAAAAGAAAATTGAAATAGAGCCTTATATCTGACAGGTGACTCAGCCATTTCCCAGGAGGAAAATTTCCAAAAAAAAAAAGAAGCCAAGTAGCTATTTTTCGAATCATTTAGAAGGGAAACTCCATTTAACATACTACAAGTAGCTGTTTGTCAGGTGTTCGGTGGCTGTTTCCATTTGCGGTGATGCCATTAAAGACAGTCAGGATGTCAGGACATGACGACTCCTTTGCCAAGTTATTATAATTAAAGTCGGGACTCGAAAAGCCGAAGAGCGAAGAGGAGTTTCGCTTTCTGCGTTCGTTCATTTGGCTTTATTGTTTCCTTTCAGTGAGTTCTGTGTGATGTTATTTGAAAATTTGGAACGTCTTGGTGGCTTTGTTGTTCCTTGTTTGTCGTTTGCTGTTTGTTGTTTACTGCGTTACGGCCAAGACAGCCACAAGAACAACACAAGGAGAGTGTTTGGAGGCCAGGACAACAGCTCAACAGCTTGCCTTACAACGGAAACGGCAACGGCAACAGCGACAACATCCAGCAACAACTGCCAGCCAGCCAGCTATATGCCTTTTTAACTTGATTTAATGAGTGCAGGGAAAGACATCAACAAGAAAAATGAAATAACTGTCATTGAGGACATGAAAAAGGGAGTCCAGATGGGGGATAGACAACGTTTCGTCGTCTCAAATGAGTTGAGCTGATGGAGTGCGAGGCTGCGCTACTTAACTGGGACACCAAGGGTCCTGGAGTTCTCCAGTCCTCCAGTATCCCACAGTCCTGGGTATGGCAGGGCGCAATTATGCAGCAAATTAACGCTTTATATTTATTAAAAGGAAACCCAAGGAAATGGACTTGGGCGTGGTCTACCAACCATCCAAGGGGGATGAATATGACTCTGAGTACATAAAAGCAGCACATTTCCTTTGACAGTTTGCCGAAAAGGAGAAAAATCCGGTGGTAAACAACGAGTCAGTCTTCTTAAAAGGCTATCCTTCAGTACTCTTATTATGAGGATAGTAGACTGAATTAAAATATATTGTTATTGATATTTATGGTTCAACTTAACAAAAATGCCCTAAAACCATTTTACTTTTTCATATCGTACTGACTGTTATCGTCGTGATATCAGAAAGATATTTTTGTAACTTCATTTCCCTATCTATATGTAAAGATTTTGCTTTGATATTTGATAATATCATGGATTTCGATCAAAGGAATACAAAGTGAAGGCGGTAGAACTGTTTAAAGTCTTTATAGATTAAATTCTCAAGAGGTGAAGGTACACTCTTAGTCACAAGGACAGTTAGTAACTGTAACTATGATTTTAGTTACTTAAACTATCACCGACTTTTCAAACCCGACTTCCGATAGAAACTTTGATTAATCACTCCGTTTAGTCACCTTGTCTTCAGTCTATATTTATCATAAAAGTTACACAGTTCTTATTCGTTACAGGTATTATTCCACAAGCGAGGTATTTCTCTACGAGATGACACACAGTTCCTCCAGGACACAGCAGGCTCCCAGCATCATACAGCACTCGGCGTCACTGGGTCCTGGTGGAGGTCCAGGTGGGGGGTAGCTGGGCTGCTCCACCACCACCACAGGCTGTTGGTAATTGGACGCCGGCATGATCACCTCCACAGGTGGTGGGGGCTGCACCACATTGATGACCTCCACGGGTGGCTGGTAGTACGGATCGATCACATCCACTTGATAGCCTGCGTTGTACATCCTGTTTCCTTTCAATTCTCTATACTGTTGCTAGTTAGCGGAAGTGCTAGTTAGTGACTAGTAACTGGCATAAACTATGCGACTAAATGAGCACTGGTCGGTGACGCGCCTTTTACTGAAACATCGATCGCAAATGGCCTGGCGGTGTGGTGGCCAATATCTTACTCATTATTATCTAAAGCCGGTAGGCATTTGATCAATGAGGTGTCCCGATTACACATTTGTGTACACCAAAATAACATTGAAATTTAAGCTAAGGACAGTGGGTTGAATTTGAATATTTAAGAGGGAATATACTTACTGGAAAATACTAAACTAAAAATATTATTTCTTTTTTTCAACATTATTTCTCATCCTGAAAGTTAAACAAGTTTTAAAAATTAAACAAAAAACAGTAAAGTTGCTTATCCTTTTATGGAAAAACTACTAAACAGAGGTAGCTACTTCCTCTAAATTAAGTAAACTTTTTAAAACTGGTTTATAATTGAACTTCAATACACTTTGCTATTATTTCTCCACCACTGTTGCCCGCCCGCCGTATCACGCTGCGTATGAGTAATATTTTTTTGGGCTTTAGATAAACTTTTTGGCCAAGAAAGACAACGGGCCTGAAATTATGTTAAATGAGCAGGCCAACACTAGTAATACGCACTCTCTATCGCACACCCACAACCATCAGCCACTACCCAGTTATTTCACTGAATGGGCCACCACATCGGAAACCCTTGTCAAAAATATTTGGGGCGAGAACTCTGACGCTGCGGTTGCAATTCAAGAGCCAAGAGTCATAAAATCCTTTATCAAATGAGAGCAGCAGGCCCACGGAGCTATAGCCACCAACTTGGCTGGCACTCTTGACACATTTTCCGCTTTTATTGGCAAATTGAGAAACATATAAATAATAACTCGGAATGTGAACTAACTTTGGAATGATGTGGTGAGCATTTGCAGCCAAAAAGGATTGCTGCTTGGATGCTGCCACATGCCCCATGACCCCTCCATACCACGACTCATTCGGCATCATAAAACTACAAATTTTTGTGGCATGTTATTAAATTTGGCTTTTTATTATTATGTGGTCTTTTTGGCATTGAGATTTATGTAAGACAATATGTTACCAGAACAGCAAAAAAGAGTCCCCCCCCAGGAGTGGAAGTACAAAGCGTTATTTATAACAAATCGTAAAATTTTATTGCACGAAAAAACTGTGTGTGAATTGTGTGTGGCCGTCATAGACATAGAAAGTTAATTTAACGTAACGCATTAAGGGTTTTTGAGGTCCTTTTTGGTTTGGAGGCTCCACTCACGCCTCCCAGCCTTCATCTCCTCTTGGGTTTTTTTATTTTGGCACTTTTTCCGTTTCTGGGTCTTTTTTTTCACATGATGGTGCAGCAGCAACAGCATTCGCCACATCCACAGCAACAGGGGCAGCAGGGGCAACAACAACAGCCGTTCTCCTTGGGCGGCGGCGGTGGTGGAGGCGGCTGGACAATGACCGTGGTGGGGCCTTGCACCATGGGTGGCACTTGCACCACTTCGACGCGAGTTCGGTGATCCATTGCGATTATAATACCAGTTGACTTGTTGCACCGCACGCGTTTCGTTTGGCACTGCCGGATTTTCCTATTATAGCCGCCTTCTTGCCAATCTCCGCCTATTACGCTCTGGCTCTTATCTAGAGATAAAAAACTACACTGGAACTGTTATCGGGAACCAGCGATTTGTGTGTGAAGTACCCTAAGAATCGATGGTGGTCGAACCTTGCTTGTCTAAGCCCATATTTGATAAGGACTATGGAATTGATGGGTTATTTATTACCTTACTAATATCTTACACCTAAACTTAAAGAAATAAATGTTTAATTTAATTGTAAAATAAAAAATATATACAAATATCAGATAGATAAGCTTTGTAGATAGGCTTTATCTTGTAGAGATTGTGATATCTCAGGCTTATCTCGCTCTAAAAATGCATTTTGATTTAAACTTTATAGCTCTGGGGAATACTAAACCCTAATGACTCATCCTGATTTGAATTAGCCATCTATTTAAGCCCCAAACCCCCCAATTACCACTTTAAAAAGCTCAAAATATAAACTGCTCTATTCGGGTCCCGATTGCATACCTAATTGGTGTAGAATTTCCAATGCGATGGCACGTAAGTGGGTTTATCAATTCAATGAGTCACATTACACAAAACTATCAGCGAAAACTTTAAACGCACTGATGTCACATAATACCAAATGGGGCAGCTAATTATATATATACCACCTTATCGTAGCACTCAAAACTATATCCCGTATCATAGTACGCACTTTGCATTCGAAACCAGCCACCCAGCATCATCGGAAGCCGCATCAATTTCGGGCAAATAGTTCCTCGTTGCTATCGTAAAGCGGGGATCTCAATTAAAATTTTCACCCAACACCGCAACTTTCCGGGGAATGGAGGTGGATGTATATGGCGAAGGGCGTTACCTTGATGAAATTAATAAAAATATATATTTTTGAGCGCCCTTCGTGCAATGGCGATGATAATTAGTGTACGTGATTCTATTTACTTCGACTGGGCCTCCCCCTCCATACAGAATCTCCGCGGTTGGAAAAAGGGGTTGGGTTGGGTTGGTACGGTCGAGTCGGGTCGGGTCCTTTAAGCCAACATCAAGGGAATGCCACAGTGTGTGTGTCTGTGTGTGTGCAGGATGTAATATGATATGCGCGTAAAAAATATAGTACGTGTGTGCGTGACAATGGCAACAACGTGCGGCAGGGAGATCCCTTTCCGAAAAAGAAATGGTTTGGGGACATCGGTTTCTGGTGGGGCTTTGTTGGGGTGTCAAAAATGAAACTACGCCTGCTCGGAATTTTAAAATAAGCAAATGAGTTCGAGCTTGATGAAAGTAAGCAATACACAGCAGAAGCAACAGCAACAGCAACGGCCCATAAATATTTATAAACTTTCCCCTGTCATATAAATACAGGGTCATTAGTTAACTTGCTCACCTTTTGCCAAAAAGGACTCGAGGACAATAAAAACGAACTAGGCGGCAATTTGAATTCCTCTACTCTATCAAGGATATAGACTAAATCCGACCTAGGGGACAGCAGTAGGGTTAATGGAGCTCATGGGGATAATGGGGATTTATGGAATATAAGCATTAGAAATGAAGCTTTTTAAAATAAGGACAAGGAAACTATACATTTAATATTAAAAGTTTGTCTAGGCTAGGCTAGTAGAGCCACCCTTGAAAAAAAATAGAGTATACGCAACGTTGACCCATTCGCAAGGCTAGTTGACCCAGGCCAGAACCAAGCCTATCAGCGGTTTTTTATATAAACTCTCGAATATATAAAGCCATACACATATATATACGATACATATAAAAATGATAAAGCAAAATGGCGAAAAGTGGCAGTAAAAAATAAAATGCGCTGCCGCAAAAGTGCCATTTGTGGCATAAACACATGCGCGCCAAAAACTTTGATAAGACAAAAGCCGAGCAAGGCCAACCCGCCAGCCAGGTGGCTAGATGGGTAGGTGGCAGTTGCCACTAGGCAGTAGGCAATGGGCAGAGGGGCGAGCGAGCACCGAGGGGAGGCCGAAAACTTTGCCAAGTGTGGCGGCGGGAAAGCCAGAGTGGAAATGTCCCAAGAATGAACTTCGTCGTCGTCGTCGTTGTCGTTGAGACCGCAGTGTGCCACTAAATGCTGCCACTAAATGTGTGCCAAGTATTATTGCAGGTGCCAGGTGCCTATCTTTACGTGTGTGTAACTGTGTGTATGTATATGTATATATAGGTGTGTAGGGGGAAAGAACTCCATGCCGAAATTGCCCAAAGGAGCTGCTCCTTGAGACGCCCACCGCGCCAGGACTCGCATAAAATTAGCACAATAAAAACACATAAATGCGGCACAAAAACATGAAAATCCACTTGTTATAATTTAATCGAGTTGATAGAATTTTTACGGCACCTTCCTCCAGGTAGGAGGAGGTGTGTGTGGTTGTACGAAAGACTTTCTTAAAATGTGGGACAAAATAAAAGTTTTAATCACACGTCGCCATTTTATTGTCGGCCATGAAGATAGCAAATGCATTACCAACTCTGCCCGGGATAACTCAACTTAAAATAAAAATACTTAAGTGCACAAACACACGTGTGTTGAAATCACTTTGCTTAGAATTTAAATGAATTAAGCCAAGGTTTTTGGGGTTTTTTTGTATTTATTTTCGAGTGTAAAGCTACTCCAAAGTGCTAGAAACAAAACATTAAAACAATAAATAAAAACTACAACTTGCTTCTAGGCAAGCTTTTCCTGGGATCCTTTGCTCTTTGATTCTGTATCACCCTCTCGACTGCCCAAAGAATGAGCCAAGGATTCGGTTCGGCTTTCCCTGCGAGACTGCATCAAGGTGGCACGTTTGGTGATCGCATCCTCGTTGTTGCAACTCATGCAGGCCTCGGTGAAGTGGACCAGTTCCGGGGAATCCAGTTCGCGAGCCAGGGGCAGAGCTTCCTCTAAAGCTTCTTTGGTCTGCTCCAGTTTGTGCAAAACCGCATTGGCCTTAACGATTTGTATAATGCTAAGGAATTTCCATAGATTGCTGTTGCAGTTTTTGCTCTCTGGAGAAATATTATTTAATTAAAACTTTAATAATTCAGTTTTATATTAATTTTTACCCTTAATAGCCTTGCGAGCATTGAAGACGCACTCGGAATGACGTCCTTGGTCCAAATGTGATTGGGATATTTGGTGGAGAAGATAGCACTTTTCAATAGAATACTTGGCAAAAATCATACGGTGCTCCAAACGGGCAGTAAGTTTCCTTTCAAAAATTATATCCCAATTAAAAAATATATATTTAGAAAAGAAAGCTAACTTCGGGAGGAGCCGAAGTTGATCCCTTGCGGTTACGATGGGGTTTTCCCCTATATGACCCACAGTGATGGCTATATCCCCAATTCTGATCCGATTCTCAATCGGAGTACCTTAAACGATTTCTGGATCGCCACCGTTCTGCATCAAAATCCCAAAATATTTGTTAGATTTTTTGTCCATTTTTCCTGATGGGATCCCTTGAAAATGGGGTTTTTCCCTATAGAGCCCACAGTGGCTATATCTTCCCCAATTCTTATCCGATTCTCAAGCGGAGTACCTTAAACAATTTCTAGATCGATTTGCCACCATTCTGCATCAAAATCCTGAGACAAAATATTTTTTCGATTTTTTGTCCATTTTTCTGATGGGTTCCCTTGAAAATGGGGTTTTTCCCTATAGAGCCCTTGAGTATCTTAAACGATTTCTGGATCGATTCCCCCTCTGCTAGGGTATAAAAACAGTATCACTTACTTGGCACGGGCAGCTTTTGGATCGGTATGATCGGGGTCTGGATGGGTAGAGCGATCTCCAAAGACCAGGGACACAAAGTCCTTGACCTTATCCTTTGGCAAGCGGAGAAGGGTGAGAATGGCCGAGGTACCCAGGACAAGGTTTTTGGGAACTCTAAGCTGCTCAGACAAAGCCAGGGCTAGGGTATTGTAAACCTCGTTGAGGAACTCGAATTTCCAGCACATGACACGCGAAGTCTTCAATACCACATAATCGCCCATTACCTCCTCAACGAACTTGGTCAGTTGCTGCGGGATTAGGTATTTAGATTATTATGTTTATAGCCCCTTGGAACAGCTGCAGGACTTACCTTAACCCGTCGGTGTCTGCGCAGAACGCGAATCTGCTTGAGGACCTTGTTCATGTTGCGATGAGTCTGGTATTGGACACGGAACAGGTAAGCCTCGCGATACCTGTCCGACATGGCCTTGTTGCGGTACTTAAGGAAATTAACCAGGTACAGCGGACTGCGGGACTGCAACATTTTCTGCAAAGGACAAGATAGACCGGGATTAAAAGTCCAGCCCGAGTTCTATCCCGGATTACAACGCACCATAAACTTGCGAACTATTTCGTACTGTTTTCTGCTGATCTGATACAGAATATACGTAGACTCCTTGCACTGGGGCAGCAATAGGGTTGGATTTTTGCATAGCATCTTCATGAAGAGCACATCGACCCAGGAGTCATTAATGTAGGACTGATGGAAAATGTTGAAGGCCCGCTTGCGACGGGCGATCTCCATGGGCGACAGCTGCACCTCCTCAATTTCGGGAATACTCTGAACATCGCACTTGCCCTGCTCCTTGAGGACCTTCCACAGGGGACGGGTGTCAATCTTTTGCTTCTCCTTCATTAGATCGTTGACTATATTGACGGTTTTTGTGTTTTTGGAGAAAAAGTTAGTCATGGCCTCGCCAGTCACATCTTTGATCACCTCGTCGACCTGGTTGGGAATTATTTATTATTCTTGGCCTTAAAAAGGATTAAGATCTGAGGTTATAGGTTAAAACTCACCACTAGCAAACGCTGGTCAAAGTTTTTGCGCTTATTTCCCGAGAAAACGCGAACATTATTGTGCATTTCAGCCTTGCTGTTTTCAAACTGATTTAGCTCATAAAGAACATCGCAAATGTCCAGGTTTATAAGGGCATTGGGTTCTCCAGTGACCCTCTTGGCCAGTTCTGCCAATCCATATTTATACTTTATATTAAAATCTATCACTATATTTCAATACTCACTTGCTGCTTCTCGACTGTCGGACAGGGCTCCCAGCATCTGAGCCGCCTTGCGCTTGGTCTGGCATCGTTGGTAAAGAGTCATGTGGTCCAAAGGCTCCAGATCGAGCGCCTTGTTCAGATAGTGCATCGCAAAGTTCTCCCGGCGGCGCCGGGAGTAGTAGATACCCCAATCCCTGTATATGTCATGGAGCACCTCTGGCGACCAGTCGATCTTCATCCAAGCCGGAAGTGGCTCATCCTTATTCAGCCTGGGAGCCTCAACAATCGACGTCATCTTGAGGCTTTCTGCAAAAGATACCTGGACTTAATATCCGCGTTATTTCCATCTGAGACCTTACCTCTCTTTGATTGAAATGTGAATAAAATATATTGGAAATTCCAATAAAACTAGGATGTTAAAATATACTATAAATTTACCAAAGATTAAAATATGTGTGTACAGGTCAAGCAGACGCTATCGTCTGAGGTAGGTTGATGGGAAAAATTACTGACAGGAAAACTAAAAGGTAGATTGTTTGTATGAAAAGTTTTCATTATGATTGGTCATCAAGCACTTGGCGTTATTTCTATTTGGGGCAAAGTTTGTGGCGTTTATGTTTGTTTTTGTGGTCACAAAGTATGACTGCCCCATATTATTAAGCTGGATGGTCGTTCGTGTGTGTGGCACACGAATGTGGCAAGTGGAGGGGCGTGTGTACGTTTCCTCTTCAACTTCGAATTCTGTCACACTTCTAATAAGCGCTTAAAAGCCACGCAAGGCGCTACCCGAAACCAGTGATTAAAAGGCACATTCGTGGGTTAAAAGCAGTGGAAAATCGTAAACCACAAGGACGGTTGATGGTGACACAAGTGGCAAGTGGCACATACCATACTCGCCCATATAATAATTGTGCATGCCCAGTGGCAGCCGAGCGAAAGAAATCACTTAAAAACGCACCCGCAACCATGGCCACCAATAAATTATTATGCTTCACACCCATTTCCAAAATAGAAGTTGTAACAATGAAATTAAAGCCACTGTGCCAGGGACCTCAGTGATAAGTGTTTGGCCAAAAGAAAGAATGGGCCATGGGCCATGGGGCAGGTGAGGTGTGGTCTAGGGAGGGAGGTACAACTCAACGCTATCATAAATCTAATGTGTAATAAATTTAAACAGCGAAATCATGCAAAAAAGAAAGCCAAAAGCAGGAGGTCCTGTGGCTAAGCTCACGCACAGGACCATGGGTTTTTTTTTTTGTGTGTGGTATTTTGCGCCACGAAGGACCCGACAATGACTACACTTTAGCGGCAAATTTGTGCGCATTGTCGCCGTATTATTTGCTATTATTTATGCCTTTTCCACTATTTACTTCCTTTCTAGGCGCCCGCCACGCCACTGCCACTGCCTAGGGAGGAGTCGGGTTTGGTATGCAAAAGTGGCCACTCCTTGGCCAGCACAAAAACCCATACAATGAAAGAAGGAAAATACACTGGGAAAACCACAGGCAATCCTCTGGGCTCTGACACTTATGGCGTGCTAAGCATTTGCGCTTGGAGAGGCTCGCGTGGATTTTAAACATTTTCACACAACATTCTCATATTTAGACGTTGGCCATCAGTGGAAAACTGGGTTTCCCTTTCACGTTTCTCCTTTCTGCCTTTGGTAACTGGCGATAATGTAAGCCCCTTTAAGCCCGAAATAAAGGACGCGAATGCGACCAACAGCAGCAAAAACCAGCAACAACAGGCATGCAACGCCACACGCGACCCCAAAAACGAAAATCTGTGAAATGTAATTGTTACCATGAAAGCACGGGCCCAGGCTCAGGCTCAGGCTCAGTCAGTCAACCAACCAAACCGACTTGCCACCCCAGGGCCACCCCCTTTTAAGGGCATTTTAAGTAAGTTTGTGTGCGGGGCATATTCGCAGTTTGATAATCGTTGGGGTCTCAGCCGCCAACGCTGATATACAAATTGGCTTTTGCAATGACTTTATATATTTTACGAGCTGCGGTCCTTTTTTGGGTAACGTTGTCCTTTCCCTTTTTCTGTTGTGTGGCCCTTTCTGTGAGAGAATTCGCATGTGAGCCGCTCGCTGATGCGATTATATAGGGAAAATTGATGCAGATAAAATTAATTGAATTCAAAAAGCCAAAACCATTTCGTTTTTCCGTTTTCCTTTGCCTCAAACATGCCTCCTGCGCTTGGCGTGGGAAATTTTCCAATAAGTTTGTGGGTCAACAAAAAAAAATAGTTACATGGCCACAACTGACTTTATCAGGAATTAAAATCAAATTGTTCCACTAACTAAGTCATGGAGGAAAGGAAGAAAAATAATAATAGTTTACTGAGAACTAAAACTTTAAAGTATAGCCTCCCTATAAGCCTATCTTATCGGTTTCTTCTATAACTCGACACACCTTCAAATATGATTACCTTTCAAACCAAAACCAACCAGATGGTTATCTTTAGAATATGATATCTTTTATAGAGCCTTAAAGGGGTTTTCCTCATTTTATTGGCCATGACTAATATTGTTTTCTGAACTTACAAGGTCTTACTCATCGCCATGGTCATAATAATAATATTGGAATGTTTGTGCCAACATACGGGTCTATTGATTAGCAGGTTATACAAAACAGATTAGATAGGACTTATCTGTATATAACAAGGTGCGGTTACTTCGATAAGTAACCACAAGTAACCAGAGGAGATTTAGTTGCTCCATAGAACTGATTCTAAACGCACGTAGAAATTATTAGAAAAATATTCGAAAAATGCCACCACCACATGGAGGACCTGGAGGACCCGGAGGCCATGGACATGGAGGACCGCCGCATCATGGCGGACCACACGGTCACCATGGGCCACCACATCACCATGGGCCACCACATCATCACCATGGACCGCCACGTCCTTGCTGCTGTTTCTGCACAATTTCTTAAGGACATAACAACGAATTTTTAAAAAAACATCAAATGGATTTATTATTTTTAAGGACTTTTGTGAAATAAATGAAACAATTTATTAGTGAAAAAATAGCAAAATGTGTTTTTAGAATAAAAGTATTAGTTTCAAGGATTAGTGTGAAGTACAAACGCCTTCGTTAATGTCTTTAAATGTGTGTCCTTTAGCTGCTTAATTAGTTTAATCGAGGGCCCCAGCAATTAATGGCTGGCTAATCATTATGTGTCACCTCGAAAACGCTTTAAAGCCTCAAAAGCCGCTGCCACTCGGCGGTTACTTTCCAATAAGTCTGTCCAAATGTCTCTTTGTGTGATTGTGTGTGTGTTCTTTGTTGCGTGTCCTGACTGCGTATGTATGTGTGTGTAATGTTTGGGGGAGAGAGTAGGTGGCCAACACACACGCATATCCCATTTAAGGTTGGACTGGTCGCTGCTCTAATTTATAGCAGCCAAGTGGATGCCGAAGACCAGAAGACATACAAGTGCCATAAATTTTGGGAAAGGAACACATTATTTATACTGTCAACCGGTCCATATTTCGGGTAAGGAAAATGCCCTTACTCCGGCCTAACCGTAAATAAGTGCATTGCCATTGGAGTCCATTGCGAAATAAGTCTTCATTAGCGGTTAAAAGGCTGACTGTTTGACCCACAAAGGTCCCTCAACTACCGGCTCTGATTCTACCGAAGATTCCTTTTTGCTGATTTCGATACCGATTCGTAATGTCTTGTGTTGCTTTCATTTTTTCCTCGTACTGTAGTCGTCCTGTCGCCCAGTAGCCGCAGGAGCTGCCGCAGTTTTAAAGCCGGAAATGCCCAAAACAACAACAACAACAACAAGGACGAGCGAAAGGAAAATGCTTAAAGTTCAAATTAAGCACAACAGCTGGCGAAAAATTGAATTGAAAGCAGGAGCAGCGCCAACAAAAGCAACAAAGACCCGCTGCTTTCCCGCCACCTCCACCCAAAACCCAAACCAACCAAAAAAAAAAAAAAAAAAGAAACTCTACTCAACCCAAGGCATTTTCACGACGTAGCAGAGAAAAACAGTCAAGGGAAAACCTGAAAGGAAAAACCGAAGCATGCTTTTAGGCGATGGAGCCCGAGATTACGAATACTTCGTAGAATCAGCTGGTGGCAGTAAAGAGAATTTGAGAATTAAATCGGGAGAGTCGCAGAAATTTTGGGGTTTCTCCCAAAAATAACTAGTGGCGCCACTTTTCCCCACTACGTTCAGATTCGTTACTAAAAGTCGGCGCATGCGCGACTATATTGAGTGAATTTTGAAAAATTCGAGAGCCGATTCTCGGGTTTGGTTAGTACTTCGAACAATGCTCAAGGGTTTGGATGTCAATAGAACGAATTTAGATTGTTTTTAGACCCCCACCATTAGGCCATAAAATTTAAAGGCCAAATCAACTCGTACGAGTTGCCAAAGATAATGGTTTGTTAAGTGCTGATTGGGAATTCCAAAGAGAATAAAAATTTCCAATGAAAGTGCCAAAAGTAATATGTTCTTGTTAAAAGAATTATCAAGATGTGACTTTAATTTTTTCGAGAAATTTAATAAATTTTCAATCCTTACCATTGAGGGATTTAAAATGTTTCTCCCCTGACATATTCCTCAAGTATCTCTTCCCAACTATTATGTAGAAATTTCCTGCCTTTATTTATTCAACAGTCTTGATTGTTTTTTGCCTTTCCTGCTTCATTTCCTGTGCTTCAAAGTCGTCACAATGCTACAATGTTGCAAGTAGCTATCCTCCGCTCTAGTATTATCCAAAAGTGTGTAATTACGTATGCTGCTAGGCGGATGCCACGCCCACACTCCCACACAAGTATGTACTAGTTGCAGTGCATAAATTATGTTAGGCCAAAGTGCAAGTAAAATTATGTGCCAGCCGGCAGACGGACTTTTGGTTTGTTAGAAAGATTAACGCCTTCACTATATGTTTTTTTATGCCACAGTCAGAGATACTATACACCTGCCCCCACCACCCCATCAGTCCCTGTGGCGGTTGTGCCACTAAGCCGTCTGCGAGTAGCAGGAAAAACAAACTGCAACGGAAGCTGCACCTCATCACCATGCCACCCCGTGTCCTTTCCTTTATGTCCTCTGACTATCCTTGCTGTCACTTTTGGGCGTGAGACTGTTTCATGGCGGCCACTTCAGTGCCAACTACAGCGACAATAATAAGCGCCACAACAGGAGCTTAGGCACTGAAAGAAAATATTAATATTATAAAATTAAATATATAATAAATATAGTTTGTCTTTATTTTTGTCAGAAAATATAAGAAGTGTTCTATATCAAGAGCTATCAAAATAGGTCTGTCTTTAAAAGATTCTATAAGGATTAAAAAGAAGAAAAAATATCCTTAAAAAGCCAAGACTTTCTAGTTTAAATAATAATTTCAAACCCCCCTTTTCTGTCCAGACAGTCATAATATGTAATTAGTCTGCATCTTGGTGCAGCTTTTCCGCAGTGCTGCAAATGCAGGATAAGGTGTGAACGCGAGTCCTGACTAGTCTATAAGTATGGGTGTATACTAGGATATATGTATGTGTCTGTTAATGATAATGATGACAGTCTGTCGCTGGCTTGGCACTGCACTTGCTCTTTATGCTGACGTATGCTGTAGGACTCTTGGCGCGCTAGTTAAAGTTTTAATTTGGCATATTATAGTGGCTGAAGTGGTACAGCCGGCGCTCGTTAAATATGCCCACAGAACACATGGAATTAGAGCCACAAAAACACTGCACAAAAAAAAGCCAACTTCGACTTATGGCATTGAACTTAGACCAAGGGGAAAGGGAAGCAATCTCAGCTTTTGGCCATGAGTGGGTGTATCGACATGGTCGAGTGGCTCAAAATGAATAGTTGAAGTGGCACTAAAGTTGAGGAATGCAACTAGGATGCAGCAAGGATGAAAGAAGGATAATGCCGACTCAGACTAATTGTCGAGTCTTGGGATTACTCATGTTTGTTGCTTCTTTTTCAGTTTATTGAAGGTCAGTGTCGTTTGTACAAGATGCCATGTTTGTTGATTAAACAGACTTTTAATTGGATACCAAACTTGAACTTTGATTTCCAACAAACAAAAAAGTTAGATAAGATTTTCTTATAAAAAAGTTTTCGTATAATTATAGCTTTCTTCGACGTGATTACTCGACAAATTGTGGTTGGGAACCCCACATTATACTCATTTGGGTAGTTAATGTAAATTTAAATCTAATAGCCGTCTACAAAAGTGGCAATAAAATCGTGTCACGATAAGTGAGATGCAAACAATAAACAATAAAACCCCAAATCGAACTCAAAGTCCAGTCCAGTCCAGTCCAGACTATTAATGCTTTTTTGTGCGGCTTTCGAGCATTTCAATCTTTAAGCCATTTAGCAAATTATTCGCAACTCGCAGCTCAACCCTTGAATATAAAACATTTGGAAAAAGGGATTATTCGGTGAGGGGCGGATACGTAGACAAGAACAGGCATCCGACATCGAAGGCGAATGGAAATTTTTTGGCAAAAGCATTTCCAATTCAATCAAACGCCCACATCCCTCACCCTACCCTCCTCAGACCGTCCACACATGCTGGCATTTAAATAAAAATAAACAAGGCAGAGAAATACTTTGAAACACTTTTAAGCATCATTACATTAGCAAATTTTCCCGATTCTGTTCGAAGGATGCGATTGCGATGGCTATGACGATGGCAATGGCGTTGAAAGGATGTGTGTGTGGCATGTGTAAGAGGCGTGGCACCAACAAAGGGCACATTACGCCAATGAAAAGTTGCTTTCCCAGTACTTTTGGCATTTTCTAATTTCCATTTTGCGAAAGAATCGTGGGAAATGTAATTATGGTCGCAGAACCCATTGCTGACGTGTGCCAGCGTTTTGGTGTAATTGTCGTTATAATAAATAACTTCAACTGTCCGACACTTGACACTTGACATCAACTGCAACGGAAGCGGCGGCAGCAAAAAGAATAAGAGTCCTGCTAAAGTCCTGCTCCTGTTCCTGCTACTGGGTGCATGCAAAGTGCCAGAAAAACATTTGCCATTGCCGCATATTTCAAATGCGGACACATGTAAAAATGCTGAAGCGCTGATAAGGACATTAACATTTGGCCAAACACATAGACACGCCGAAAACGGGGTAATCCAGGCAGGGTGGGCAGGGCAGTGTGGGTGGAAAGCTTCCTTCCGCATATGCGAAACATCAAAGGGGGCAAAAAAAAAAAACGTAAGTAAAAGGCGGAAGTACCTCCACAACGTCGCTTTTGACACGCAAATTTATAACGGCAAGCGGTGGCAACAAAAACTTGTTGTGGCCAAAAAAAACCCAACAAGTCCCTCTCTCGTTACCCAAAAATAAGGCAAAAGCCAAACAAATGCAATTTAAATTTACTTATTTAGAACCCCTGGGAATTCCAAATTATTTGCCTTTTCACGCAAATTTAGCGACCATTTTTCTAACAAACAAAAAACGAAGTTCAAGCAGGTGGAGTTTCCTGCTAGTTGGCGGTGGGGTCTCTCTCCCTAACTGACATGTGTACTTGGGCGCAACTTTTCCAGCTTGATGTATTTTTTTTTTTTTTCTGCTCCAAACTGTTGGGGGGCGGACGATTAGAAAATGCTTTTCCCCCTAGTAACCCAAAAGGCTCTGACAAATGCTCTTTGGCCGGCATGTTGTTGCTTCTGCTGCGGTGATTAATGACCTCGAAAGCTGAACAGGATCTGCGGGGATGCTTGGCAGCTTAATTTAAAATGAAAATTGTACTTAATTTCTAGCTGAAGGGCGGCAGACTGATTATGCTTTTCGTGGGTTTGTTTTTCACTCTATTGGGAACGAACTCTCAGACCCCCACTCCAGTTCATAAGCTCTGTTTGTTTATTAAAAATAAGCTTACATTTTTGCCATCTTAATGAAATTTTTCCCCCAAAAAAAAAAAGTCTTTTCATTAGTATAACACACTTTGTTTTACCTAAAATTGTTTTACAATTTGTAATGGTAAAGTTTTCGGATTTAAACCAACCTGGAATCCTGGAGTTTTCTTTATTCAAATCAATCTCAGCATGCATGCAAGTCGACTGTCGACTGTCGACCGTCGACCATCCCCACCACAAACAAATTGAATTAAGATTACCACACAAGGATTTCAAAGCATTTGCGGAAAAGTCAAACGAGCTTTAGTTTATTATTATTATTGCGTCAGAGCGAAAAGTTTTCAGCCACTCAGTGGTGGAGGTGGTCGACTTGGGTGGGTTGGTTGCCTGCCTCCTGCCTGACTCGGATGGATGGAAAATTTTCAATCGCAATCTTATGGTTTATTTCTTTTGCGCCAAAGCTACTTTATTTTGACAGCAGACAAACAAATGTCAGAATTGAAATTAAAAGGAAGGCAGAAGGCAGCAGCTAGCAGTCAGTGGAAAACTTGTGAAAAACACGCTCGACTTGAGGAAGTAGACGAAGGTTTTCTAAGGGCGACGGAGACGGTGACGGCCGCAGAAACGCCATTCTACGCAATTCCCAATCAGAAACTCCGGATCCGGCCACTACTCCGGCTACGGCTACGGCACCGACTCCGGCCCAATTCCATCACCGCCAACCCACACGCATTGCTTGGCTGACTTTCTTCTGCATTTTCCCGCCTTCGACTTTTCCTTGGGTTTTGGTTTTCCTGGTGTTTTCATTTTGTGTGTGAGAGTGTCTGTTTTTTTTTTTCTTATTCCTTTGGCTGTTTGTACATTTCACACAGCGTGAAATTTTCTAAATGTCATTTTGCTGTCATCTCGTGGATAATAAGATTACAACTACGCTGAAATAATAGGATTCAAATGAAAAAACTTTGCCGTCGTCTGTCTCCTTTTGCGCTTCTCAACTTTCAATAAGCGCGGAGGTGTAGTCCAAGAAATACGTATATCTCTGAATCAAAACCCAAGGTGGGGCGTTGTCATTTGGTCTTGGATTTGGCTTTGGCTTCGGCTTAGGAATGGGTCGCAGTGGAAAGTTTTCTACTGTTGATGGAGTGCCGCGATAATGAGTGGAGCAAACCTCAACCACAACTTCAACTCCATCTGGAGTCCATCTCCCTCCACCTCCACCTCCAACTCAAATCCGAAATGCGAAATCCATCTGCGATTGTAACTTGAGCGACCTATGATCTGGAGACCACTTGAGGCGTCGCTGTCTGTACCATGTCTATGTTCTATTTGTATAATTGATTCGATTCCCCTTATACCAGAGGGAACGGAGGAGGCGGTTTAATGAACCATGCTTTCATAGTGGCCATTACTTCAGACTGTCTGCGTGGCCCCAGGCCACAAATAGACGAAAGTACTATAAGCCAAGATACCAAAGAAACTATAAAAACTATATATATAAACCTTTAGGTAAAGCTAGACCAAAGAAAATAGGGAAGAAACAAACAAACCAAAACGAAAAACACAAAACTCAAAACAAAACAAAAACCCATCAGCTGGCTAAGATGGATCACTACCTGGGGCCATTAAAAAGCACACAAACCGGCTTCCAATGCCTACGACTTTTGGGTATAAAAGCCCTGATTTGCGATCCAACCGGCATCAGAACTTCCAGAAACGTTCTAGCAAGTCATTCGAAAAAATGAACTCCTACATTGTGATCGCTTTGAGTGCTGTGTTCCTGGCTCTGGCCGTGGCTTCGGTGAGAATCAAAGGATCCAGACCTTTTTGTTACCAAAGTATACTAACCATTTTTTGTCGCCCCTTTAGCCCGTTGAGCTGAACGAGGACCAAAAGGCTCTGGCCAAGCAGCATGGTGAGCAGTGCGCCGCCGAGCTGAAGCTGACCGAGGAGGAGGTGGCCAAGGTCAAGGCCAAGGACTTCAAGAACCCCACTGAGAACATCAAGTGCTTCGCCAACTGCTTCTTCGAGAAGGTCGGCACCCTGAAGGACGGTGAGCTGCAGGAGGATGTTGTCCTGGAGAAGCTGGGCTCCTTCATCGGCGAGGAGAAGACCAAGGAGGCCCTGGCCAAGTGCCGGTCCATCAAGGGCGAGAACAAGTGCGAGACTGCCGTCAAGCTGCACGCCTGCTTCGAGGAATTCAAGCCCGTCAAGGCCTAAAGTCTTCCCGGAGGATGGTGTTTGGCAAATTGTGATTCTTAACTAAAAACTTAAACTTAAAAATAATACCGATTCGATTGCGATAATAGAATACATACTTTGTCAGATAAATAATTTGTGTTTGAAGATTGGTGCCAATGGGAAGTGGTCGGTGAGGAATATTTAATAGTGAGTGTGCAACTTAATTGTTTGTGGTTTAATATCCTGGCTCGCTTAAACCGCTTATAGCCATATATTCATGGCTGGTCATCCGCGGTTTTCAATTTGCATAATTATAATACATCGCCATGCCCCATAGCCAAAATGATTAAACACAAACTGCGTTGAACATGTGAACTAAGTTTATTATTTCAAGTGGCAGACTATGTGTGGCTGTGGCACGAGTGTCCTTTAAGCCTTTAAGCCCTTGACCACACACACCTCGTAGTTGAAGACAAAGTCGCAGGTTGTGGCTGATTTGGTGGCGCCACAACTGGTCAGCAGTGCCTTCAACTTGTCCGCAGGAACGCTACTGAATCGCATTTGGGCTAGTTTCACGATTTTGTCGGTATTCGGAGTTCCATTATCAGACAGGAGTCCCAGTTTCTTATAGACGCAGCTATGATAGCACTTGACGGACTCTGAAGGATTCGCTACTTCCTTGTCGGTGGTCAGCAGGTTGGCATCACTGGCAGGAATATTCAGCTCCTTGATGCAGGCTTGTTGCATCTGCTTGTAAGCTGCCACATCGGCTGCACTCTGGCTCTATTTTAAGGAAAAATGTAAAGGATGATTTATTAAAATTAAATATTTATACCTTTGCCATTCCAAAAAGGGCTACCATAAGGCCCAGAACCACCAATCCGTTGAAAGCCATGTCTGTTAATCTATTTTCGCTTGAAAACTGAATTGTGCTTTGGACTTCTGCGTTTTAAATACTCTCTATAGTGTCAAAATCTAACCCGTATTTTGACAATTAAGTTATTAAAATTCTATTATATGTATTATTCAATTTTGGAATAATTTTTCGTTTTAATTTGTTGAACCAATTGGCTATTTTCCAAACTCAACCACTTGGCGTTAAATCATTCTCGTCTGCAATGATCACTCGGGTCAGTGAGCTGTAATTTTCGCTTTATTTTTGTTCGCTGATGAATTTATTTCAGAAAATTGTAGTTTAATTTAAAAGTTTTCTGTTGAGTATATAATCAATAAATTTTGATAGATTTAAGTTTTAAATATATGGTATAAATATCTGAAGCAAATATGTAGGTATTTTGTATTATATTGGATAATAGGATATATTGGATATAGACCTTTAAATTTCCAATTCATTTGGCCTTTTTAATATCTTTTTTATCATCGACGCCTAATAGTATGTTTAGTATGTCTTTATGTTATCGCCTTTATAAAGATGACCCAAAAGCAGGCTATACTTCTAGCTATATAGATCTGGCGCCTCACGTTTAGTCAATTTCAGGTATTTCTAATTTGATGTAAAATATTTATATAAAGAACTTCAGTTTGAAAATTGTACGAGATGTTTTCCTTATATTATTTAAAATACAAACCTATACAAATATATTATATACTATATACAATTAATTTATTGTATTTAAAACCCTTTATTGTCAATTCGCACTTACATGCACTTTAATAAACATATTTCTTTAATTTTGTGCACACCCATTGGTAACTAACTATATAGTGCGATATTTCAGGTATTTTTCAGACACCAAATGAGAAACATAAGAGCTCTATATTTATTCCGGCTTGGATTCGGTGGCCGATTCCCCGGAGTGCTGAATACCGTCGATAAAGTCGGTACCGTCCGGACCGAGTCCATCGCTCTCGGCCTCTGTCCGCTCAAGAATCTCCCGGATACGCTGCTCCGCCTCCAGGGTCTTCAGGTGATTGTAGCAGAGGTGGAGCTTGTAGGCAGCTTCGCAGCGGGACTTGCCCTGGAGATCGCTGCACTCCTTGATGTCGGCCTTCTCGTGCTGGATGATGGTCTGGACCTGGTTCTTGAAGGCCTCCTCCAGCAGGATGTTGTATCTGTCAACGTCCAGGCTCTCGTACAGGCAACTGACGAAGCACTGGAGCGGCTCGTTGTGCTTCAAGTTGAGGAATGGCATCTGGGAGTTCCCAGAGAAGTCCAGATCGGCCAGGGCGTTGACATCACTCATGGCTTGGGCTGGAGGCGGGGCCACCTCGTTCTCGGCGTTGTAATCGTTGTTCAGCAGACTCATATGGAAGAGCTTCAGCTGGGACATTGAGATCTCGGTCTTGCGCATGCAGGACCTCAGCATGTCCTGGCTGAGCTTGGGCTCAGTACCATTGGGAGGATCAGGAGTAAGAGTTCGAGTCATGGACATGTTGAGGGAGACGGTCAGTGAACGGGCCTAGGATATATGGTTGGGGGATCAATAATAAGTAATCCTTTCTTAAAATGTTACCCATGTCAGTGGCAGAAGATCGCTGATAGCCACGCACAGCAGGGACAGAATACTGGCTTGAATATACATTAAAAGTTAGCTCCCGGTCTCGGTTGGTGAATGATTTACTCTCCAAAAAAAATCAAACTATAGAGACAGTCACGGTTATGCGGACTGCTTTTATAGCGCCATGCCGAGGATAGGGACTTCCTTTTCAAAATTGCAATTTAAATGTCTTTCAAATCGATTAACAATCATTTTTATGCCTCAACGGGTTTCCAGCTGGTATCGGTTAATGGTCTTTATCAGATCCCGTGTCTATAAAAGGTCACACTCCAGAGCATTGCCAAAAAATAAAAAAGGCAAAATTAGCGATGGTCATGAGCCTCTCATCTGTCATATTTGTTAGGCTCGTTTAATGGCCACTATAATTACAAAAGAGGCAAAATGCTTTCGCAAAAAATGTCAGGCTCAATTTGGCAGATGAATCTACAAACCATTTAAATGCCCGTCCACAAAACGTCGGGATAATAAGAGTACATAGTCGATACTTGATTGCGCAAAGAGCTAACTTTGTTCTACATTGTTTGCCGTTTCAATTAAAGTAATTGCTGTAATTTTCGTCTAATTTGTTTTTCAAGTAATGAGTAGTGTTTTTTCCTTCTTTTTTTTTGCATATCAAGGGTTAGTTTATTGTAAATGCATTAGTATTTTAATTTCCTATTAAAATCTCCAACAAAACCAATCACATTACTATCGAATCCCTGCGACTTTAAGTTGAACTTTCTTTAGTTTCTTGGCAATGGCATCTCCAAATTGACGGTCTTAATAACAGTCTTGGCCTGATAATAAGCAGTCAGGACCACAAAAACCCAAACCACAGGGCACATGGTCTTTGGGATCAAAGGAACTCCATACGGAAAGACATCGGACCATGAAACAAGACAGTGGCAGTCACCCCGCAGCGGAGTTTTATAAAATTAAATTACATTAATGTGAGAACCGCAGGCTAGCCACCCACCCAGCTCGCAGCATCAACCCCCTGCACATATCCTTGGTCCTTTTGGTCCATTGAAAGGCAACTAACTGGAGGCCAAGGATGAGAGCGACAAGACGGCGGACAAGACAAAGGCTGAGATGTCGAGCATCAATGTGTTTTCCCGACCATATCAAGCGTGTTGGTTTCTTTGACAAGCCGCCACGGCTGTCTCCCTAAATGCATTATCCTGATGTCGAAAGGGAATCGGACCGGTAGAAGGGGGTTTGATGATTGGACTGCCTTTTTAATAGACATTAGTAAACGCATCACTGATTGCGGAAAGGATCTTGGGCAGACAACTGCAACTGAAACGGATGCTAAGTGGAAGTGACATGACATCGACCGGACAGGCCATCCCGCCAGGAAGTGACAAAATGAATTATAGACGCCAACTCCTGGCGGCCTGGCTCTGCTCCAAAATCCCCAAAGCCAAAGCAATTGTCCATTTTGTGGCCCTGCATGGACAAACCACCAAGAAAAAACCACCGAAGCCACCTGACCCGAGCTTAACCGGTAAATGCAATTGCGACACGTGCTCAATGAATGTTTAATGATTTGTTAATTGGATTTGGACTTTTAAAAACACGGCCTCCTGCCCCTTTCCGGGCCCATTTATGTCCGAATCATTTGCTCCATCCGCAGCCAACGCATGTGGAGGAGGTCCTTTGTGCCGCAAAAGTTTACAGGAGCTGGGGCACAACAGTGCCGACCGCCGCTCATCAATATTTATGCCAAACATGAGCGTGCAAATGCCTTTGGGATCGGTCCTCCGGCCAAGGACTTAAGCCCCCTGACGACGGTCTGACAGTGGGCTCTAATGATGGCCCACTGTTATGCAAATGTACCAGCCAAATGGGTCATACGCCGCCGAACGACATCCATTGACAACAACTCGAATATGCATAAGTAATTATATATAAGAATTTCGCTTTTAATTTCCTCTGAGATGCCGAAGAGGGCGTGATCTGGGACGATGTCAAGGTTTCCAAAGTTATTTTCCCCCAAAAGACATTGTCTTTATAATATAATGAGATTACTTTCAAATAAATAGAATCAATAAATTGGGTTCACGATGCTTGTATTTGCTTTAAAATAATAGTTAACAATTCACAGATCTTTAAACATAATAATACCACATTTTTAGACATTGGCGCGGTTCTTGTAATAACACTCGTAGAGCTGGAAGGCGGTGTCGCACTTGTCGGCTCCCTTGATGGAATCGCACTTGGCCTGTACGGCCTTCACGTTATCCTCGCCGGCAATGGGTCCCAACTTGGCCAGAACCTTGTCCGGTTGGACCTGACCATCAACCAAGAAGCCGGTCTTCTCCAGGAAGCAGTTGGCAAAGCACTTGACCTTGGGATCAGCGTTCTCGAAGTTGCCACCGCGAAGGGCCAAGGCCTGCTCCTTGGTGATGCCCTCCTGCTGGGCGCAAAGGGCGCCATTGGCATGGGCAGTAGCCTTCTGCTCGTCGGAGAGGTTCAGGTCCTGTAGGATAGGATATTATGATGTTTTAATTTTATTAAATAGTTTCAACCGCTTTTGATTAACTTACAGCTGCGGTGAGAGCCAAAATTGCCGACAGGACAATCAGGAACTTCATATTTGTTGCTAATTTTTCGCTACTGGAGATGCTGCAGGAAAGCCTTTTGTATTGATACTGTTTCTCAAATTCTGAAGCTTGTTGGTTTTTATATGGTTTTGTATATACAACCTCGCCAGAGTTTTGTTTTGATTATCGCTTTTTGTTTCGCTCTACTCCGCTGATCACAGCGTATACGCAATTAAATGTCTACCCGGGTATATATTGGATAGTTTATTTAAATCTCCGTTTTAATGATTTTGCCGGTTGATGTTTTTGTTGATTTTTTATTGACCCGTGCCCCACCGATCCGATAACCTGGTTCTGACTCACATTTTTTTCGTTCTCCGGCTTAAAGTCCACTCAATACAGGGGGTCAGTGCAAATTACTCATCACCCATCGTGAAGTTCACCAAATGAAGCAAGTTTATTACGCTCCCCATTGTACTGATAATTGGCTATAATGTGCCTGGGGGGGCAGTGCCGAGCTCATTATAAGGCTAAAATAATTTGATTTCCATAATGTAAGTGCTAATTGTAATTTCTGATTTTCCGACGATTATAAAATCTATTTTTCCCAAGGGTCAACACGCTCAGCGAAGCGTCAACCCATTTGTTTTGTTTTCTTTCTCATTTACAAACATTTTTTACAAACTCAACACCAACTCTCAAAGGCATCAACTTGAAATACAATATTTTGCTCAGAGATTAAGTACGTTTTTATGGGAGTTTTGTAAATAAAAAATATTGCACGAACACCATGATTCGGCATCTTTCTAGAGTCTAGAAATGGGTTTGTAGAAGCCTCTCACTTGGGGAATATCCATTCAACAAGATTGAGAGAAAAGACTTGGTTACAAAAATAATTTCTTAAGTCCAAAGGTAAATATTTCATTTCTTTTTTTTGCATGATTAGGTTTAGATTTTTAGGTTTCAATTACTATAAACTTTAATTAATTATTACCAAGCGGTAGGTTGGCTTGAAGAAACCGGTTTATACTCGTACCAGCCTCTATTGTTTGGCTCTGTTTCGGCCAAGTTTGAAGTCAAGTGCCGGTATCAAAGTCTAAAATGCAAACGAGTCTCAAAACCCAAGTCCATGAGATTAAGATAAACTCAAAACTGAACTGGTTGCGCTGATTAGTTTGTTTATTAGCCATTAAAGTGACATTCGGATGATTTGCTGACTGTATGGATTCGGATATAATTTTCAAGAAGAATAGATTCACTAAACGGTCAAAATTGTTTAAATTATGGTAATCGAGGCATGGTAACAGTGGCACACAACTTTGAATCATATATTTTATCAATATTTATTGCTGACAGCATCGATAATTCATGACCTACTCAAAGTGGGGAAAAGTGAGGAAAACTGGGCGCAAGTTTCTGGGCAAAACTTAACCAGGGAAAACTCGTAAATAGTTACGCACGCCAAGGAAAACAAAATGTCAGAACGATTATTGCGGCCCATCGTCGCCTGCCAGGGCCATAACAGAAATAAAATATTTAAATAGTAATAAATTCATAATGTCAACGTGTATATTGTTGGTGCTGGCTCTGCTCCTGCCAGGATCCTCCCGACGATTTATAGACAATAATAACTGCAAACACGAACCAAAGAAGTCCACGGAAGACCGACTGACTCCTCAAGTAGTTTGATTTCAGTTGAAGGAGATGGTTTCTCTTCGAGGAGAAGGAGATGGAGGCCCAGAGTAGGGACTCCTGGTAGTAGTATCCACCTGGTGCAAAAGTTGAGCTGTCTCCTAAAAGTTACCAACGAATAAAACTGTTTTATCGCAGACATGATAGGAATGGAAAGGGTCTGTCGCATGTGCTTCATATATAATATAAATATTAAATACTATATGGCATGCCATAAAAATATAAACAGCACATAAAACTACAATGAAAAACAATGGCACACGTTATTATGTGACCCAAGAACGGCTGCCAACGACTAATGAAATGTCATCGGACCCTCGGGTCCACAGTCGCCTCAACTTCACTGAAACTCAACTCAACTCAACTCAACTGAACTGAAATGCAAATGTCACGCGAAAAACTATTTGACGACAACATTACGTTGACATAATAATAATACCATACCATACCAAACCATACCGTACCGTCAGCCGATGAAGGACTCCTCCTTTGACTTTAAGCCAAAAAGCCATCCACAATTCACAGTCATATGCAAATTTTACGAGCTTCTCATGACCAGTCATAAAAGTCAATTTATTAGCTATGAGAAATTAAAAAGAAAAACAATTAAATATATACTAAGCGTGAATTTGATTATGGTCTAGGGTTAAGGGGTATTATTTAACTTTCTCTTCCTATTATTAGCCCTTTTTTATCTTATGAATACCTACATCCATTCTGTTAGTATCCTAATTGTTATGTTTAACTACTGGTTGGATAAAAATCAATAATTTAAAGATAATAAATGCACCCGGTCCAGCATAATGGCAGCTTTGTAATTAATTATATCCAGTGTCGGGATAGACATACCACCTGCCCTCAGCCCAGTTTGGAATCCGCAAGCCTAGCAAAAAGCTACAGAAATTCAATTAGGCTTATCCCATGCAATAACAACACCACTGCCAACAGCAACATCAGATACTGAGGCCAGAACAGCTGCAACACCTGCGCAATTAATTAGTGTTTGCCGCATTAATTTCAGAAAAATAAAAAGAGATGACCGAAAGGAAACCAAAGCCAGTTAGGGTTGGAGGGAAATAGGGTCGAAACCCCAGCAGTGGCTAATAAATTCAAACAGGCCTTGGCCGGGGCCCACAATTGGAGCAGCAAATCCGTTGCCAACATTCGCAATGGGCCAGAAAGCCAGTGAAACACTAACCCAGGTAAATCAAATAAAGCAAATTCATTTAATTTAAATTATAATGAGACCACCATGAACTGGGTTAGGAGTCTGAAAAGATTAAACAAAAGCTGAGTGCTCCGCAAAATATTTGATTCATTCTTGTTATGTGGGTTACTTAGTTTGGAGGAGTCAGCGGAAATCTGTTATCAGGACATCTTTTCCCAGGGCTGGCATTAAAATTGCCAAGAGATATCATAATTTCCACTTCTATAATTTGTTTATGATTATGGCCGCATGCAAAATAAAACGCATTTAAGTAATTAAGTAATAAAAAGAATGGCGTGCCCGCGTGCCCGGTTCTCTTCTCCATAAAAACCAGGCCCCGTCTGCAATAAAATGCCAAAAACAGAACAATTAGGCAATTAAATGTCTTCGTATTACCAAAATAAAAAAAATTGTTCGTTTTGGTAACAAAACGGATCATAAAATAAGCCAAAATGTACTCACCCCTGGGATAAGAGCTAATGGTGGGCCCCTAAAAATGGATCACAAAGGGCCCAAAAATTATGTGAAAATGTTCTAGTCCATTTTATTTTCCTTTTTTTTTCTGCTGCAAAGAAAAACATCGAATGAGAATTCGAATGCGAATGCGAGTGTTTTAGTAATATTTATTGAATTCCAGTTAACGAACCCCAAGAACCGATGGAGCCCCCTTGGATAAGGGACACACAAAAAGGCGGCAAGAAGAAAAAAAAGGAGAAAAATGGGGTCGGGGGTCAGAGCTTACAAAGCTTTTCAACGCACATTTTCCGATCCCTAACCCCTAACTGCTGGCAAATTCCGAGTTCTGCAAAATGAATTCTTTTGTGACAAGTTCAATTCGGTCGAGGTTGGGGGGGACTGCGGGAGTTCATATGCGGGAGAACTAAACTCAGTCCTTCTGTCCGCCAGTGTCCGCATGTCCTTTTGTCCGCGTGTCCGCCCAAGCAAAGTGTATTTGTTGTTGCTAGTACTCCCGACTCTGCTGTCATACAACGCATCAAAGACAGCCAGGTGAAGGAATGCAGTGCTCGTTCTGTAAGAAATTGAAAAATCTAACTCAGCCAGGAGCCAAAGCCAGGCGGAGCCGAAGGAGAACCCCCAAGTCCCGATGATGGAAAAATGGAAAATCTCAAGCTGCGAAAATCAGCAGCAAATGCGCTGCTTTCGTTCACATTATTGTCATGGTGCGCTGGTGGATGTATATATATTTTTTCCCAGGGCGCTTGGAATTTTTAATAAACGTTAAAGTTTATAACATTCTGCCCCCCGCCCCATACACTGCCTGGCACTTTTGTAATCTGTATGCCACACATATCGACACAAGCCCTTAGGTTATCCTTGACTCCTTGACTGGCGGCCGGGAAACTGCAACAACCGAAAAAGGTAATCCAGAGGGCATAAAGAGAGAGTCTCACATAAAACCAACTAATTAGGCAAAGCATCTAATTAGACGCACAACAAGGACATGCGTCCTGTGCGGTGCCGCCTCGTAAAAGCCAAAGCCCCCAAATGACAACGTCGCTAAAAATTCTTATCGCCGACACCAAAATTAAGCCCCCAAACCGGTCGTCGAGAAACTGCCAGAAGGCAACAAGGAAAGCCCCGAAAAATTTATTGTGGCAAAGGTTAAAGACGCGCCATGTTAAATGTGGAAATTGTTTAATCCACTCCAATCCCGGGGCACGGGGCAATTACAATTACGGGGACCGTGGTCAGCTGCATGAAATTGGAACTCACTCCGAGGGATATGAGACAGATAAAAACTTTTGGTAGGACACGGAAAAGGATCTCTCCTCTACAAAAACAACAAGAACCAAAAAAAAAATGGAAGGGACATGGTTGAAGGAAAAGAAAAAACCTATTTGCATTTTATTTTCTTTGTAATTTGATGCTCGATTGCTTTTTTAGTGTGTAATGAGGTGGGCTGCAAATGGGTTTAATAAAAACATTCCCACTAACACCAATCCGTGGATAAAATTTTAAAAACTTATCACACGCATGGTTGCCTACATTCCAACTTTTTTTATTTTGTTTTAATGGGAAAAACTTACAAGTAGATTGCATTTTGCCATAAAATGATAATTAAGTTTAGGTTTTTTTTTTTGAAAAGAAAAAATTTCTAGCTTTCAATTATTTCAGTAATATTTAATTTGGCAAGAAATGCTGAAATGCCTGTGGCCTTTTAGCCGGAAATTTCCATTCTCAGGCACGCACGATTGCATCCACAATACCCAGAGAATATTTAGGCGCCTTCTGTCATGGTTGGGGATGCTGTTATACTACTGTTGCCATTGCGACGTGCAAATTGATCAAAATAAATTGCATAAAATATTCCATTTACGTTCCCATTCCGGAATGGATGCCCCGAAAATTATTGTAAGCATCTAATGCAATCAGAAAGTGTTGCAACGCCTTTGGGGCGGAAAGATGGGCCAAAAACAATGCGGATCTGGCCATTAATTTGCCTCCCAACTGGCCCATCCCGGCCCGACCCGGTCCGGGCAGCGATTCTGTTTTGAGTTATGCTCGGAATTTGTGATAAGCTATGCGGATTACGGACTCCACTCCCTGGCCAGAAAAATACCAAGAAAACTGAGCTTGTTTCTCACAGTTTATCCCAGTAGCTGTTTTCCCAGAAGAAGTTTTCAAGGAATGGCAAAGGATTTTTGGTGGGGTAAAGGATAAGAGATATACATACCTCTTGCATGCTGTTAAAATAATTAGTGGCAATGATGCCGGGGGTCTGTGGGTGGAATGAACATCCCAAACAAACTCGGTTTAATTCGGAGTTGCAACAAAAGAGTTGATTATTTACCCACGTGCCCAAAGTTCTTCGCACATGCACTTCCATATGCAAATACATCAGGCAGTCATTAAATTAATTAAAAGTGCTCTCACCCTCACCCTCTCTCTCCCAGTCTTTCACCTGGAAATGACTGTGCGAAAACTTTCATTTGCACCTGGTTCACGTGAGTGTTTATAGAGCCATTTCGACTACGGCAATAATTGAACCCGAATGATTTCAGCTCAACCTGGGGCCTACTTTCAATTAATGGAATAATCGTATATTTGCTAATTACAAAGTAATGCATTTTACACTCAAGTGATCTTTGATTAATAGCCAGAGCGGCAAGAGTGCTGAATTGGCAACTATTTTGCATCTTGAACTGATCTTTGTTGGCTTTCCCACAACACCTACTATCCCACTAAAGTGCAAATGACTCATAAAGATTTTTGTAATTATAGTTTCGTATTATTTATTAATAGATGCATGTATACATATATAGGAAAGTTTTCATGCCATATATCAGGGCTTAACATCATTACCGCCACAAAAGTAATCTTAAATGGTTCCCCAAAGATGAACTGGAAACATCCCTTAGTTTTCCGCGACTAACCCGGAACTTGGGGAGAGTTCAACGAACTTGCCCCCCAAAAGACGCAAAAGAGGCGAGAAGCCCCCGAGGAATTGGCCAGTTTCTGATGATTCTGTTGCAGGTCCTGCCTCCCAGTTGGAGCTTATCGGTGCCCACATGTCACGAGGGGGAACAATTTAATTCGGCATAAGATTTACTAATAACAATGATATAAGACATTCGCCCCAATGAGTATATAATAAAGCTAATGGAAAATTATGGAGCCTGGGGGAGGGGGCTAGAAAATAGGGCGGATGGAATTCCTTTTTATGAGATGATGTCACAAGCTGGTTGGTCTATGTACATTTTCAGAAACATTTCAACATTACAGACAAACAATTAATAGAATAGGATTTTATTTGTAACCAAACTGCCATATCCTGCATTCCTCAATATCAAATTGATTAAATTTCACACTGAAAAATGATACCAAGTGTTAAATTTATGGCAATACAATTTACCGTTATCACTCGAAATGGCCGGAATGGAATTCCGACTACGAATGTTTATAACCTGTACACCCACACATATTGCAGAACTAAACCTTTATTGAGGGGGGCCATTTTAGAGGGCCGGAACTTAATGGTCTATTAAGGTGTTCTGGCCGGCGATTTAAATGCAATTAAACGAAAAGACTTTCGGGCCTTTATGGCCCTATCTACATGGCCTAAAAAATTGGCAGCACTAGACTGGCCAGCGGAGGGAAGGGGTTCAATTAAAATAAATGAAATTGCCAAAAAGAGTGGCTCGTAAAAATGATAAACACATTAAATGGGTATGGGCCGTCATCAATAAATGGCCGTCTCGACTGACATTTATTTATGAGGGCTAATAACTTTTAAAGCATTTCATTTAACTCAAATACAAATGGCCAACGTTGGGGGCGGGATGACTGACATGTTTTGGCGGTTCTTTTGGGCCAAAAAACTCACACACACACACATACTATACACACACAATCGCCCACAAAACACGGCAACACAAAATGTCAACTTTTTGCCAACCGAAAATTGTCAAATGCACAGAATTTTAAGCGCCATACATTTATGTTGATGCGGTTTAAAAGTTTTTTAATTACATTTGCAGGAGGAGTCTCCTGCAAAGACCACCCACCATAACACCACCCTACCAACCCACCACCCACCGAAAAAAATAAAACGACAACTCCCAGTCAGATCCTTTTTGGTCGTCCACCCATCCGAAAAACATGTACACACTGGCGCCATTCAGGGTATATTTTACGCTTTATGATTGTATTTGGCTGTGAAAATGTTTAAAACTCATTTAATTTGAAACAAATTAGAAACGATAACACATAAAAGTGAGTCGTTGTACTTTGCATACCCCTACCTCCACATACATATATGGACTTTCTGCCACGAAATGCTATGAGGTTTTGTGTGGAAAACAATGGAAAATGAAGTTAAAGAGTGTTTTTGTTTATTAGTTTCTAACTATACATAATATAGTTTCAAGTCTTTAACATATATACACTTCTACCCCTCTAATTACTTTTACAAACTAAATTAAATATTTTGCGATTGGCTTTTGTGGCAAGACCACATTAGCCATGATGAAATGCCAAAAATCTTTCTTGCATAACCATTAACCCCTTAAAATTTAGCATTTGCCTTTAGCCCCAATTCTATCTCCTCTACTTGCTTGTCACTCGCTTGTCAATCATCTATCAAAGCCCCCAGAGATCCCATCAGGCCCAGGAGACTCTGGGCTACTTATCTTCGCATTCAATGCTCGCAGAAACAGAAACTAATTGCTAAAACGCCTTGATGCCTGTGTAAGCAGTGGGGATTATGTAAAGACAGAGGCAAAGTAGAAACCTATCTCTAACCCTGAATCATAAAAATGTTTAGACAACAAAATGCGGTTGGGGGTGCCAGGGTGCCGGATTGGAGGCAGGTCATCATTCATTTGGCCCAAGTAAATATGGCCAGGGCAACGAGTGAAAGGCTGCCAAATGTTATCAGCTCCCTGGGATCTAATGTGACCCAAATGTGTGGCCAGAGGATATCCTTGCTGACTTAAGCAGGACATTTTAAAGCACGTTTCGAAAATTATTAATAAACTGCAGAAATCCCATGAAAGCCTTCGTTTTAGCCTGACTGATGGCTGGCAAGATATATAGTAACACCTTACAGAAAAAGCAAGTCAGCATGCGGTTGTAGTTTTTAAGCGAATCCAAATGAGAAGAAAGGGAACCATTAACTGAATATGGTAATACGATCAAGACGCAAAGTCCATCATCTCGAATCGTATAAATGCTCACTGACTTTGGGGGTAAGACAACAGTTTCGATTCTAACTGATTCTAAGCAACTCCCGATCAGCAACATGAAAGTAATCATTGTATTGGCTGCCTTTGCCGTCATGGCCTCCGCTCTGGTAAGACATCTGGGCTTAAAGGACCAATATATCCTTACTAATAATATAACTGCCTACAGGAACTCACCGACACCCAGAAGGCTGAAGTCAAGGCCCGTGCCAAGGCTTGTGCCGAACAGGAGGGAATCACCAAGCTCCAGGCTGTGGCTCTTCGCTCTGGAAACTTTGCCGACCCGGATCCCAAGGTCAAGTGCTTCGCCAACTGTTTCCTGGAGAAGAGCGGTTTTGTCGCCAACGGACAGATCAAGCCCGATGTGGTTCTGGCCAAGTTGGGTCCCATCGCTGGCGAACAAAAGGTTAAGGAGGTTCAGGCCAAGTGCGACTCCATCAAGGGAGCCGATAAGTGCGCCACCAGCTACGAGCTGTACAAGTGCTACTACAATAACCAGGCTCAGATCTAAGCTTATTCTCAATAATGTAAATATCTCAAAAATAATTAAATAAATATTTGGGCAAGAAAATTGTTATAATAGGGTATTCATTTTTTCTAGGCTTCTTCTGTAAGATTTTTCTTGCAAAGTAGTCTATGGATTTTCTGTTTTAACCTTAAAGGTTTAAACATCGGCCCTGTTCATCAGTTACATTCCAAACATCGAGCCTGACGTACAATTTAGAAGCTAAAATTTTTCTTTTTCTGTTTGAATTTGTTAAAATTAAAATTATTCATTTATTTTTTGGATAATCTAAATTTTATTTCCCAATTTCAAAACAAAATGTCGGTCTATCGTAAGCGCCTCATGAACCTAATGAAGGCCCACCGCCGACTGACCTCGGGATCCAACCGCCGCCAGCCAATATTCGATGTTGAGACCAGAAAGGATTTCGAGAAGAGGGTGATAAACAGTGATCGTCCTGTAGTGGTTGATTTTCATGCCAGGTAAGTTGGAAGCCCTTAGAACTTGAGATTCCACCGGCTAAGTATCACCTGGTTAGCTGGTGCTGCCCTTGCAAGGCCCTGGCTCCCCGGCTGGAGAACATTGTCAGTGAACAGGGTGGCAGGGTGCGATTGGCACGCGTGGACATCGATGAGCACGGAGAACTGGCCATGGACTACAATGTGGGCTCCGTGCCGTCCCTGGTGGTCATCCACAAGGGCAAGGTCGTTAACCGGATGGTTGGGCTTCAGACAAGCGAGTATATCCGCGACTGGTTGAAGAAAGTGATGTCACATGACGATAATTAATTCAAGGATATGTCATTCAAATAGTGGGATTTCGTACAATGTAGGCTCGAATAAAGTTGGCTTTAAGCAATGTAAACGGCAACACGTTTTTAATTAATTTTTCATTTAACCAATTTATTGACAAGCTATTGTGACAAGCACTGGAAAAAAAACTATCTATGAAAGATAGTTACACTATCAAGATTTTTTTTCTGATATTGGATTATTTTCCTCTCTGTATATCTATAGAAAGAGGTCCTGTGTAGCTCCTGTCTCTCAGTGGCGGCAATTCAAAATGCAAACAATGTCTCGTCTCGTGCTCAAACCATTTGTGGATCGGCGCCGTTGTGGATTTGCAACTGCAACAAATACAACAATACAACATGTATCTCAATTGTTTGCTTATTTGTTTGCCAAAAACAACAAGCTTTCTCTCGCTACCGCTATTGGCGAATATGTCCTTTTATTCCATACATATATACGTATATCCTTGCTGTCTGGGCGAGGACATTGCTTGGGGGGAATGTCTCTAATTGATTTTGGTAATGTTGCTTTTTAATGAAGTGTCAAACGTTCTCCAGCGATGATGCATGTGGTGTCGCCCAGACCTCAAATCCCACAGGAGCTTCTCCAGAGAAACATAATTAATGCCGTCTACCGTGTGTGGGTAAATTAATTATAGCAACCGAATAAAATCTCTGGTGTTTGCTTATCTATTTATTTTTTTTCAATGGGTGATCTATTTATAGCTCCCCAATAGAGACGACACCTTCCCCAAGAATGGGGGTCTAGGATCACTGTCGTCAGCAAGGCCCATTAGCTCAGTTGGTTAGAGCGTCGTGCTAATAACGCGAAGGTCGCGGGTTCGATCCCCTCATGGGCCATGATTTAATTTTTTTTTTGTTCAAAGAAGTCTATTTTTAATAAAACTTTATCTATTATTATTTTATTTTAATCATTTAGTAACGGTATCATGGGCCCATTAGCTCAGTTGGTTAGAGCGTCGTGCTAATAACGCGAAGGTCGCGGGTTCGATCCCCTCATGGGCCATACTTATTTTGCTTTTACTTTCTGGAAATTTTAATAAGTCACCAAAAATATAGACTGAAAGGATATAAGCATATTGTTTTTTTTTATATATTTAAAACAAAATTATTTTCTATAACCCTCAAGTATATGAAAGGCCCATTAGCTCAGTTGGTTAGAGCGTCGTGCTAATAACGCGAAGGTCGCGGGTTCGATCCCCTCATGGGCCAGATTTTTATATTTTTTTTTTCCATTTATTTCATTTCAACAACCCAAATCACTTGCTACAATTAAAATTTTAAAGTAAAATTGTTGACAATCCGCAGTCCCAACTGGAGTTTGTTTGTACTGGACCCACAAAATAGATTTGCCGCAATGTAATTGAGTATTTGTATTCAATTAAGACTTATTTCAATATTTGCATAAATTCTGCAGCACCAAAGCGCCAGACATCCGAGCAGACACAAGAGTCTGCAGTCCAGTGGAGTGCAGTCCAGTTGAGTCCTCAAGCGGGTATAAATCCCTCATATGTTCGGGCATAATTTGCTGAAACGTAACTTGAACAAACAGCCAAAATGCCGAGTGGATGGAGTAGGAAGTGGTGGAGTGGATGTCCACGGTCCAGTCCACGCTCCAGTCCACGAATTCACGAATCTCCGGACCCGTCCAACGAGGTGTGGGTCCATGTGTGCACACTGTCTGATTTTGACAGCCCGCATAAAGCGGCCAAAGGACACTGGCGGCGACAGGATGCCTGTGTGTGTCCAGGATGCCTAGGTAAACACTCAGAGAAAGGGCTAGCTAAATGCATTACCCCCCCCGGGCACGCCTGGTGTTGAATGGCGACAAAAACTGCAACAAATATTAATTTTTATTATGCAAACATTGCTTTAATTACATTATTTTTGCGTATGCCCCGGCAAACAAACTTTCCCCATCGACACTCTGTGTGTGTGTGTCCAGCTCTTCAGTTCTCCAGTTACGTGCAAAATCCCCTCATCGCTCTGATCAATCACTGGAAAATTGGATTTTCATATGTGCGGCTCCCACTCACTCCTCCTCTTTGGGTCCGGGCCCTGAAGTTTATACAATTTCCGATATCCACCGTTGCCTTGTGGCGTTAAAATCAATCGTTTCCCCCCCTTAACCACCAATCGTTTGACAAGCACAAACACAAACTTAATCAGATCCCCCCCTGAATTGGTCAATAATTTTTAAATACAAATCAAGTGTTAACTAAGGGCTTAATTGTGGGCTGTAAAAATTATTGTACATGCTGCCAGGATATTTTTTTTAAGTTTAAATTTAAATAAATAAGCATGGCTTTTTGCGATTCTTATACAGAAAACCCTTTAATTGATATGTCTAATTTTAGTTACTAGTCATGACACTCAATATTCTAAGACACACCATCAAAAATGTGTAACTTTTAACGCCTCTAAAATTGCTGAATTGTAAAAAAAACCGAAAAAAACTAAAAGCAGGAACTCGGATGACCACAAATGCTCCGCAAAATACTGACAACGTGGGATTTTAACACTCCCCAGATGACTGCGTCAAGCTGAATTGATCCGGAACCCTTTGCCGTCTCAATGAAAAGCCATGGAGGAAAGTCCTCCTCCTGTGATGGCTATATGTCCGTCTAGCTAGCTTTTTTTTCATCCTTTGGATGGATGCCCTGGCTGACGGAAATTCGATTTATTTTCATCAATATTCAATGTCATTGGAACATCTTGGTGGCAAAACCAAAAGCGTACATCAAGCATGTCACCCAATGGCAGCCAGTGGCAACAAAACCAACAATCCGCAAGGAGAACAAAACCCTCCAGTACCCTCCTATGGAAATGGACTTTGTGGCTTGCAACTTTTTTGAGGGGGGGTTTTGCTATTAAAATTTGATGCGCATGTTGTTGTCTCGTTGTCGCAACTGCACGTGCCGTGCCGTGAATGTCCACCACCCACCCACTAGGGTAACCCTTTTTTCCAGGTGGAAATGTCGCAGTCTGGCGCAGTCCATGGGGTTATACCAAAAACTCGGTCTCGATTCGGTCTCTGCTCTCTGCCATTGCATATTTAAACAAATTTATTTGCAATTTAGTGTTTGCGGTTGGTTTTCAGTGGCTGGGAGTGACCTACCCCCACCTGGTCGGTCATGGAGAACCTTTCCAGCTGAATGATTTTATGCAATTTCATTGCATACTTTTAAGTGGCGCGAAAATTAATTAAAATTTTTGCAATTTATTGACAAATATGTCAATTTGATTGGCATCGGTAGGAAAGTAACACTCTCTTGAATATTTACAAAAAAAAAAGGAAACTGTCAAATTTTCTGATGCCACAGAGTTATGAATAAAACGACACAAACTTTCCCAATTTGTTGGAGTTATTCATAAATAGACTGGATGGCAGGATTTTTGTTTAACTTTAATATTCAGAATCTCGGGTTTCTCGGCTTCACAGCCATATCGCACACCTCTTAGCCGGGCAAACAGAACCGGCAAAAACCAACAAAGCCCCATCCGTTGTTATTAAAGCCATAACTGTGCCAGTGGGCAAAAAAAAAAAAGGATGCAACAAGGATGCACGTTCGCCTGAATCCGCGTTATGCCACCGTGAGATAACAGAGGAGGCCCGAGTAAATATATAATCCTCGTGAGCTGGATGGCAGCCAGTTACCCAGTGACATGCATTGTGTTAAAAAAAGAAGTCGAATATCACAAAATAATATTCAAAAATATTCAAATCCCGATTGAATTACATTCTTAGCAGAACAAGGTTTCGATCCTCGGACCTCTGGGTTATGGGCCCAGCACGCTTCCACTGCGCCACTCTGCTTATTGAAATAGCCTTATTTCAAAGGCTTTCTTAAAACAAAGGGATAAATAAAATCCAAGCTAGACTAACAAAAACCCAGCTTTTTATTTTATTAAAACTATTATTTAACATTATTGCAAATTAGTCAAATTTTTAGTAAAAATATTAAAATCCTTGCCAATTTTTTAACTTTTTGCATACTGCGATATTTTTTTGCCAACCCTTCTACACAGCAGAGTGGCGCAGTGGAAGCGTGCTGGGCCCATAACCCAGAGGTCCGAGGATCGAAACCTTGTTCTGCTAGATTGTAATTTCAATCCTTAAGGGTTTGAATTTTTTGTTTACTTCTGAAACATTTCAATAACTATTTTTCTATTTCAAAAAATAGAAAATAAAATGTATTTGTTGCTAGACAATTGAAAAAAAATTAAAAAAAAAACAAAAAAATTACTTCCCATACCGGGAATCGAACCCGGGCCTTCTGGGTGAAAGCCAGATATCCTAGCCACTAGACCATATGGGATATGGAAATCAACTAGACCAATATTCGTTTTATCATCAACAAAAAGTTATTCTTAAAATATTAAGGCAGAACGACTAATTTTAAAGAAATAGCTAATTAATATCTTATGAAGTTATTTTTTAAAGACTAACAGTAACTACATTCAAGATATACATGATTTGTAAGCTTGGAAATACAATTTTCTGTCAATGGCGACTTGGGTGACTAAAATAATTTCTGTATTGATTTTCTACAATGGTATAGTTTCATGTAAAAACCAATAAGTTCTTTGCAAAAATAAATAAGTAATTTATAAGAAAGCAAAGAAAAAAAAAGTATTCTACCATATTTCCCATACCGGGAATTGAACCCGGGCCTTCCGGGTGAGAGCCGGATATCCTAACCACTAGACAATATGGGACTTGATGTTCAGCTGACAAAAACTAAACTTCCATTTCGATGATTCGATTGTTGGAATTAAATTTAAATTAAAATAATTCAAATTGCTTAGATTATTTGGCTGCCAAATTATCATTAAACATTTCGAGAAATAAAACTGGCTGGAAATGAAATGCCTAAAAATAACTTCAGCACATTAATAAAATTCATTTGTCGTCAGATTGGTATATCCCATATTGTCTAGTGGTTAGGATATCCGGCTCTCACCCGGAAGGCCCGGGTTCAATTCCCGGTATGGGAAATATGGTTAATTAATTTTTGTTTCTTTTTTTAAATTTTTATTTTCCTTAATCTTTTTGCGA